TTTAATATGCTCAGCAGTAAATGGTAACATCTTGGCTCATCAATTTTTCTCAACAAATATTGATTTTAAAGCTTTAACATTTTTATTTATTTTTTTTATTTTTTTTGTAGTAGTAGCAGTAGTAACTGTGTCAATAATTGAAGGCTGGTTTTGGTTAGACCCCAAATCCCTAAAATAAAAGGGTTTTACTATAGATCAGAGTGTTTTGGGCCATCTGTATTGACTGAAGCATCATAGATTTCCCAGGTGTCCTCTATCTTTATCCAGAGGAAATCATGTGCTTGGAGGGTTGAAAGGGAGAACAATGTCCTCTCTGGGAACAAGGTCGCCTGTCCAGTTGTGATTAAGGATCATGGAAACTGGTGCTGATGTAGAGGGAGGCTGTCACCGACAGTCTTGTAGTCTCACTGTGACAAAAACTGGACTGTTTCTTTTAGTAAGAGGGCCTTTATTTTAAGCAATGTCTTTCTGATTGCAGATTTTTTTTTTCTTGTCTTTTAGGTATGATAAATAACTGCTAAAAAAAACTCAATCTAGATTGGACATTTAAGTTTTGCAATTTAAACATTAAGAAATAATTTTTAAAAATCAAAGAAACCACAGTAACAATGGGGAGCAATTGGAGGGAGCATCAATGCATGCACCCCACTTGATCTCAAGAAATGGCTGCTGAATGCACTAATGAATTGGTGAATGCATGCAAATATATACTAGTAAGGATATGAGGAATATTCATAGGAGGACCATATTGTGGTTTAAATTCTAAGAAATGTAATCCTGTTTCTTACAAACTCCCCTCCTATTTCCCTTTTTGTATAAAACATTGTGCCGTTGGACCACAAACATTCTTTCATTACCTCATTTAAAAGCTGAAGTGAGAGGCAGGCCTTGATCACTTTTATTTCCCGATTTAGGTAAACAATCAAATAAAAACCCTAATAATCCCTCATTCAACGTGCAGAAACACACACACACACACATACATTTTGGGTTTAATACCGAATAAAAGCAGGCCAGACAGGCTGTGTTACCTGGGTGTTACTTCAGCTGTCTGAGGATATAAGGATCAGATCCTCAGCACTCAGCAGAGCTCTGCCCATATGGTTGGCCTGCTTAACTGAGTGACTTTATCTTGACACTGCAGTCAGAGCTGCCCATAAACATTGAATCGGATAAGATTATGAATTCATTTGGGGGATTGTGCATGCTCCAAAGGAAATGACAGGCTTTTTTTTTTTTTTTTGTTCCCCTTGTATGAAAAAGGGGTCAAAAGATTAGCAAGTTATAAACATCATGTATTTAATGTAAATAAAAATGCCCGCATGCACGTGTCTTCTCAAGTTTGGCCCCTATGTTGAATTCTTTCTGTTTATATCCAAAGATGAGGCAAAAGAGGACGTTTTCCAATGTCCACAGTGCAACAGTGATAAGGACAGCAATAAGTTGGGGCAGTGTGTGAGGTTATTAAAAGTTTTTCTTTTAATAATGAGCAGAGTGTAGAAGGGAATACTCTCAGCATAGGTCTGTTATCAGACTGACTTTATGTTCTAATCAAAATAGCAATTAACTTCAAGTGTTGCATATTCCTCTGTAAAGTTTAAGCTGCATATCTCATTAGGATGAATATACCCAATGTCGCATATGTGTCGCAAACTGAAGATCCACCAATCAGAGATTTTTGTGCTGGATCTCCAGTCGAAGCAAATTGTTCAGTTCTGACCTGCAAAGCTGCTTCAAGAACTATATATGAAGAACTTTTTTTTCCCTATCCTGTGAATAGATCAAATCACTATAAAACACTATAGATCGGAGGTCTGCAACACCCGCAATGGTACTGCATCTGGGCGCGGTTTGGTTGATTAGACTTTTTTTATATTCCCTTCTGCAATTTTTTCCACTAATTGAAATGTCTTTAAATACACATTAACGTGAATTCAACACACTCTAGTAAACAGATAAATGGAGGCAGAAGATGTCTTTCAGTCATCAATGCATACATTCAGTGACACACAGGAGCTCTTTCAAGCTGGGCACCGTTTCCTTAACAACACCTGTCCCATCAACCAGAAATCTGAATCAGACATACTTTAATAATCTCGGGGTGAAATTACTTTTGTTACATTATTCCATATGTAAAAGAGTGACTAACAGACCAGTTTGCTATAACACAATTTCATACAATATATATAATTAGGGGGTCCCTGCTCCATCTCGCCATCAATTTGGGGGTCCTTGGCCTGGAAAACGTTGAAGACCCCTGCTATAGATGTATCCATACAAATAAAACCCAAATAAGCTAAATTACAGAGGTCCTTATTTACTGCTCAACAGGACAGATTACAGGTGCTGGTCATAAAATTAGAATATCATGAAAAAGTAGATTGATTTCAGTAATTCCATTTAAAAAGTGAAACTTGTATATTATATTCATACATTACATACAAACTCATATATTTCAGATGTTTATTTTGTTTAATTTTGATGATTACAAATGACAACAAATGAAAATCTCAAATTCATCATATCAGAAAATTAGAATATTACTGAAGACCAATAAAAACAAAGGATTTATAGAAGTGTTGGCCAACTGAAAAGTATGAACATGAAAAGTATGAGCATGTACAGCACTCAGTATTTAGTTGGGCCTCCTTTGGCCTGTATTACTGCAGCAATGCGGCGTGGCATGGAGTCGATCAGTCTGTGGCACTGCTCAGGTGTTATGATAGCCCAGGTTGCTCTAATAGTGGCTTTTAGCTCTTCTGAATTGTTGGGTCTGGTGTATTGCATCTTCTTCTTCACAATACCCCATAGATTTTCTATGGGGTTAAGGTCAGGAGAGTTTGCTGGCCAATTAAGAACAGGGATACCATGGTCCTTCAACCAGGTACTGGTAGCTTTGGCACTGTGTGCAGGTGCCAAGTCCTGTTGGAAAATGAAATCTGCATCTCCAAAAAGTTGGTCAGCTGCAGGAAGCATGAAGTGCTCTAAAACTTCCTGGTATGTGGCTGCGTTGACCCTGGACCTCAGAAAACACAATGGACCAACACCAGCAGATGACATGGCACCCCAAACCATCACTGACTGTGGAAACTTTACACTGGACTTCAGGCAACGTGGATGAAGTGCCTCTCTTCTTTTCCTCCAGACTCCGGGACCTTGATTTCCAAAGGAAATGCAAAATTTACTTTCATCAGAGAACATGACTTTGGACCACTCACCAGCAGTCCAGTCCTGTTTCTCTTTAGCCCAGGCAAGACGCTTCTGACGCTGTCTGTGGTTCAAGAGTGGCTTGACACAAGGAATGCGACAGCAGAAACCCATGTCTTTCATACGTCTGTGTGTGGTGGTTCTTGAAGCACTCACTCCAGCTGCAGTCCACTCTTTGTGAATCTCCCCCACATTTTTGAATGGGTTTTGTTTCACAATCCTCTCCAGGGTGCGGTTATCTCTCTTGCTTGTACACTTTTTTTCGACCACATCTTTTCCTTCCCTTCGCCTCTCTATTAATGTGCTTGGACACTGAGCTCTGTGAACAGCCAGCCTCTTTAGCGATGACCTTTTGTGTCTTGCCCTCCTTGTGCAAGGTGTCGATGGTCGTCTTTTGGACAACTGTCAAGTCAGCAGTCTTCCCCATGATTGTGTAGCCTATAGAACTAGACTGAAAGACCATTTAAAGGCTTTTGCAGGTGGTTTGAGTTAATTAGCTGATTAGAGTGTGGCACCAGGGGCAATCAATTTTGAACCTTTTCACAATATTCTAATTTTCTGATATGATGAATTTGAGATTTTCATTTGTCATTTGTAATCATCAAAATTAAACAAAATAAACATCTGAAATATATGAGTTTGTATGTAATGTATGAATATAATATACAAGTTTCACTTTTTAAATGGAATTACTGAAATCAATCTACTTTTTCATGATATTCTAATTTTATGACCAGCACCTGTATATAGCTCACTAATGCTTGTAATGTGCTTTACGTTCAGGATATGCAATATCTTGACAGAATCTGTGAAAAAAACGGAGAACAGCTGTGTCCAATTTTGCCTTTAAGAGGAGAAAAAAAGCCTTCATAAATAATTATTTATATTCGGACCAAAGGCGACGTCACGCCGTGTGTGCGTGAGACAGCACCCCTGTTAGTCAGCTCTGCAGTTAACACTTTTTATTTTGTAATAAAGATAAATGCTGTCTCCAGTATCCTGCTTGAGGGATCAACATGGCTGACAGTACTAACAATAAATATAGGACAAAACTAAAAAGCCATTCCACTACATATCGCAAAAAGGATTTTATTCCATAACAAAATGACCTCCCTAATATTTTAATGTATATTACAACCAATGATTATAGCTTATGTCTCTGTCTGATGTTCGGGGTTTTATATATTTTTTATGTGTTCTGTTTTTAAAAGCAAATATTTCTAAAATGTTATTTGAGTAGTTTTATAAACATGCCAAAATAATTGTGATTTTGTTATCACAATTTGCTCTAGGCATTCCTACAAGTTTAGTCATAGTTTTTTTTTTTCTGTTTATGTTTATATGGAAATGAAATCATAGCGACTAAAATAAAAAAAAAATAAAAAAAAAGTCATAATAAAATCTTTGGCTATATCGTCAAGCCCTAACTAAACATCACATTCTGAGGTGTAGCTACAGCCTGATCTAGTTTTCCAACATTTTCTGATCTAGAATAACTCCTTACTCGTAGATGTGGTCCGTTCAAGAGCATAAAAAAAAAATGACATTGCTGTACATAAGAAGAGTCATGTTATTTGTTGATTTCTTACTGCATTTTCATATGTCTTCCTTTCTAGAAGTTTCCTACATCCTCTTTGCTTTATTGCATTTTAATTTTAAAGATGTTGTTGAAAACAAATTTCAGGGCTGCCATATCAGTGCATATAATTACTAATATTGTTAGTTGTTACCTGAAACAACGTGGCAGAAGTCCAAGAATGATTGTGTATTTTTTTTTCTTCTTTAACAAACAGTGGGAGCTTCTGTGGTCTCTCATCCTCCTCCTCACCTTCTTCCTGCTGTTCGTCTGGTCCTACTTCTGGTGGGAGGCGGACAATGACTACAACGAGTTCAACTGGTGAGTTCTCCATAAGCCTTTTCGCTCCTTGGTTTATTAGGTCCTACTTTAAGCCAGGAGCCTGCCAGCATATTGTTTTGACTTGGAACATTCTGGTCATACTTTCTGACTGGGGATTTCCTAAATCAAGGGGTTAATCTCTGTAATCTATGGAGGGCTGGGTGGTCTCTGCTCAGATTAAACCTTACATAAGAGGCGCGACTCATCCAACACTTCCTGTGCTGCACATCCCTCAGCCTGACATTTAGTTAAACAAATACCTTTTATACAATGACATATGAACTAGTTTTTCTTGCACCTTTCAATAAGCCTTCATATAAGCACATTTATTAAGTTTTTTGTTATTTTTGTTGGTATAATAAATGCATTAATAAATCTTCAAAATGTACTCCTTGTAGAGCATCTGCTACAGTATATTGATTTCTAACTAGTTGTGATTTCTTTATATTTATGACCCATGACCTATTCACACTTTTAATTCCATTCCAACCTGCAGTTTAAATGTTTTTAAGCAGATTTTATGTGATGCATCTGCAGAAAATACTGATGTGAATTCACAAAATACATGTTTATTAAAAGAAAAAATTAAGAACCAAAGCCCAGACAGCTGGTATGTAGATTTGTACCAACACATTTGCTAGGAATCCCTAAAAGGTTCTGGTCTAACCAGTTGCCATTTGAAGTCCTGTTATCATTGGTCACTTGTTGGAGTGGCGTACGATTAACCAATATAAGCCCACTTTTTCTGAAAGGCCCCAGAAGCTGCACAGCCACTAAGCTGGAGGCATCACAGAAAAAAACAACAACAAAGGAGCTCCCTATACATGTCAGGGAGAAAGTTAATGGGATGTAAAAGTGAGGGTGGGGTTATAAACAAATATCCAGGTCTAAGATGCTCTCATAGTGCCATCCAATCAATCACCTCCTCAGAGGAAGATCACGGTACCATAACTAACCTGCCAACAGACATGGGTTAGGATGTCCTTAATCAAGTTGGTAGCTCAGGAACAAGGGCAACCCTTAGAAGGGTTACCTTGTACCTGTAGGCTTTTAGTGTTATCTGTTAGAATGTAGGCTCTATAGTTAATTGATTTTTAAATGAATTTTGACCTTGTTACATGATCTATGCCATTCAGTTTTTTATTGAATTAGCATTGTATTGAAATACTTTATTAGTAACATTGTGTGGTCCTTAAATTTGAGAGGATTTGTCCTAAAAGTCCTTGAGTTGTTGAATTTGATGGTAACCAGGATTTAGGAAACCTTACTTATTATTATTATTATTATTATTATTATTATTATTATGGTCAGATGATACTCAAATAAAACGTTTTCTTTGACACTAAGGCATGTTCTTTGAATGAAATTGTTGAAAGGGGGGAAGCAAAACCATGATAAGAGTGATGAATACTATTTCAAGCCTGTGTATTTTATAATAGATTTATCATCCTGTGGTGGACAATGGTTACTACTCATTCGTCCTCTCCCAACCCCCAGCCTCCCACCCTCAGGGACATCTGCAAAGTCACTTTCTCTCTCCAATAACGTCCTTCCTTTCTATTCCATTATTTGGTGCTGCATGTACATCCTATTATTGTAGTAGGTGAAATTTCCTCCAATGTTGACCTTTTTTTTTTTTCGGTTTTTCCTACTTCTTTTTTTCAAGGTTCCCAAATCGATGCTTGGGGACTTTTCATCATCAGTGACTCAGCGTTTTCAGTTTCTATCGCTTCCTCTTTTTTTCTTTTTTTTTTTTCTTCCAATTTTCTTTTCTTCCCTCAGATAATCGGAGCAATGACATCTCTGCTTCATTGTATGTTCTATGGAGACTCCCTTCAGGGAGACTCCCAGCCCATCTGCAGCAGCTTCCATATGAGGCCTTGTTCCTCTTAAATCACTGATAAGGCTTTACATGCGATTAATACTTAGAGCTTTGGCTGATATGACCGAACACACGCCTGTGCCTTTTTATTTAGCAGCTATGTGTGTATTTTCACTGGCTGTAACAGTCTGGAGCTTTACAGCTGTGAGCAAAATATATTTATGTGTGACGTGTGTATAAGAGAACAGGATTAAAATTAAAATAGTTCTATAAATAAAGGGAAAGGAGTGTTTTGTTACCCTATTAAAGCTCTAAAAGTGTCTCATTTGCAAGGAAATTATCAAGAACTAATGAAACTGTGGCCTCCAGAGTTGTATAATTTGCTTATAATAGCCTTAAAAAGGAACTTGCCTTGAGAGATAATTTAACACCAGAACTCCCACCTAAGAGAATCACTTATAGCATTAATAAAACCCCAAAATACTGCAGTAGAAATAACTTTTATGATCTAAGAGATCTTTAATGAAATAACAGAAAATCACTTTCACTACCCTCTCTAGGTTTAAGCTTTGTGAGATTACCAAGCACATACCATCCAATTATGCTACTTTAGGCTTATTAGATAAAGGCTGATTATAAAAGAGGCCATTTTGACTGTTGCTTTAAATGAAATCAATAAAAAGCAATAAAATTTCATACTTATTTGTTTTTCTTTCTTTTTAACGAACCTTAACTCTTTTGGTTCTGCAGGTTTCTGTACAACCGCTCTGGGGAGTGGACTGATGGAACTGTTCCCATCCTAGCCACAACTGCTGCCGGCTTCACCTATGTTTCATTTTTAATGGTCAGTACATTCTCTTTAAGACTGTTGAACTCATAAGGCCTAGTTTCATATGGTTTTATTCAATGTGGGTCTGCCTTGTTCTTCCTTTCTTTTCAGGTTTTAGCACTTTGCCATGTTGCACTTGGGCAACAGTTGAATTTGCACTGGCTTCATAAGGTACTTTGAGATTTGAAGTCAAATGTAAAGTGCATTATAAATAAAATTCATTATTATTATTGTGCAAAACACGAGACTGGGCGAGTGTATATTTATGTGTAACTGTGAAAAGCTGCATGGGGGTGGATGATTTTTGCATATGCTTATCTGAGTTGTGACTTGCGTAGGTTTGTGTTTTCATCTTGTTTTTCCAAATGTTTTAATTTATTTCAATTTAACTTATTGGCTCATCCTAAACTCTCAATCTTAGCTGCGGACTTGGAGTTCAGTGAACTGGCTGTAAACAAGTTCAAAAAATTTAGCAGATGCTACATACAGGTGCTGGTCATAAAATTAGAATATCATGAAAAAGTAGATTGATTTCAGTAATTCCATTTCAAAAGTGAAACTTGTATATTATATTCATACATTACATACAAACTCATATATTTCAGATGTTTATTTTGTTTAATTTTGATGATTACAAATGACAACAAATGAAAATCTCAAATTCATCATATCAGAAAATTAGAATATTACTGAAGACCAATAAAAACAAAGGATTTATAGAAATGTTGGCCAACTGAAAAGTATGAACATGAAAAGTATGAGCATGTACAGCACTCAGTATTTAGTTGGGCCTCCTTTGGCCTGTATTACTGCAGCAATGCGGCGTGGCATGGAGTCGATCAGTCTGTGGCACTGCTCAGGTGTTATGATAGCCCAGGTTGCTCTAATAGTGGCTTTTAGCTCTTCTGAATTGTTGGGTCTGGTGTATTGCATCTTCTTCTTCACAATACCCCATAGATTTTCTATGGGGTTAAGGTCAGGAGAGTTTGCTGGCCAATTAAGAACAGGGATACCATGGTCCTTCAACCAGGTACTGGTAGCTTTGGCACTGTGTGCAGGTGCCAAGTCCTGTTGGAAAATGAAATCTGCATCTCCAAAAAGTTGGTCAGCTGCAGGAAGCATGAAGTGCTCTAAAACTTCCTGGTATGTGGCTGCGTTGACCCTGGACCTCAGAAAACACAATGGACCAACACCAGCAGATGACATGGCACCCCAAACCATCACTGACTGTGGAAACTTTACACTGGACTTCAAGCAACGTGGATGAAGTGCCTCTCTTCTTTTCCTCCAGACTCTGGGACCTTGATTTCCAAAGGAAATGCAAAATTTACTTTCATCAGAGAACATGACTTTGGACCACTCACCAGCAGTCCAGTCCTGTTTCTCTTTAGCCCAGGCAAGACGCTTCTGACGCTGTCTGTGGTTCAAGAGTGGCTTGACACAAGGAATGCGACAGCAGAAACCCATGTCTTTCATACGTCTGTGTGTGGTGGTTCTTGAAGCACTCACTCCAGCTGCAGTCCACTCTTTGTGAATCTCCCCCACATTTTTGAATGGGTTTTGTTTCACAATCCTCTCCAGGGTGCGGTTATCTCTCTTGCTTGTACACTTTTTTCGACCACATCTTTTCCTTCCCTTCGCCTCTCTATTAATGTGCTTGGACACTGAGCTCTTTGAACAGCCAGCCTCTTTAGCGATGACCTTTTGTGTCTTGCCCTCCTTGTGCAAGGTGTCGATGGTCGTCTTTTGGACAACTGTCAAGTCAGCAGTCTTCCCCATGATTGTGTAGCCTATAGAACTAGACTGAAAGACCATTTAAAGGCTTTTGCAGGTGGTTTGAGTTAATTAGCTGATTAGAGTGTGGCACCAGGGGCCATCAATTTTGAACCTTTTCACAATATTCTAATTTTCTGATATGATGAATTTGAGATTTTCATTTGTTGTCATTTGTAATCATCAAAATTAAACAAAATAAACATCTGAAATATATGAGTTTGTATGTAATGTATGAATATAATATACAAGTTTCACTTTTTAAATGGAATTACTGAAATCAATCTACTTTTTCATGATATTCTAATTTTATGACCAGCACCTGTATATAATTTAGCTGTTATCTTTGTTTGTTTTTCCTCTCTCATTTTGTGTGCACAGATAGGAGTAACTGCAGCTTTGCTTACCACCATTATTGGGATCGTATCAGTCAATCAAACATGGGGACAAGAGTGGGATGTCGTCCCCATCTCGCTGCAGGTCAGATATAATTCCCTAAAGAGCTTTGTTGATTGTTATTCTATAAAATCTGATGAGGTATTTCAGTGCAAAGGTAAATTTGTGATGCAAAATGTTAATAGAAAAGACACGAAGAGGTTTTTTATTGTTTACGGCATTGCAATTAGTAGTGACAGGAAAGATGTAATGTTTGATCTTTATGACATTTGATCCACATGATGTTCAATAACTTATTCCCATCAATATCATATGACAAGCTTGTTAGTTTTAATTAATTATCAAGTTTTAGACATGCATGGATATATATGTATTAGATATAAATCTTCCTTGGTTACTGTAGTATTTACACTGCAAAGACTCATCTAAAATTATTCTTTCTGAAAATAAGTGTTTTTCCCCCTTCATTTGAGCAGGTAAATAAAATCATTTTAAAATACAATTAGTATTTTACCCTTGAAATGAGAAGTAGGTGTGCTCTCAAATTAAGATATTGGAGCTGTTTTTATTTAATTCAAACTTATTCATCTTATTTTATTGGCAAAATGTCTTTTTTACTGACTAACTTTAGTGTAGTGTAAGAGTGAATGTCTTTACAAATGATCTGTCATTGTTTGGCTGGAGTTGATAATGGTTATTTCATTCCTGACGGCCTTGTCCAGCTTTGTCTCTTGTTAAACCCACTACTTGTTTTGCCTCCATTTGTCTGTATCCTGTTTTCCGTCCAGGCTACGGGTCCCTTCCTGCACATAGGGGCCCTGGCTGCAGCCACAGCTCTGTCATGGATTGTAGCTGGACAAGTCGCTAGAGCAGAAAAAACAAGTACGTTTTTACCCTGCACAACACACGATTCCCATATGATAGAAAATGGCTGAGCTGTGGATAAATCCTTTTTTTTAATGACATTAAATTGATTTTTTCATTTCAAGGCTTTGGACACATTTTTCCTAGCCTGACGTAGTCCGACTCAATTCTAGTCAGAATATGAGTCTGATACTGCTCCATAGAGCTGTGATTATGGGGCGTGTTTCGAACGAACCAGGAAAAAAAATGCCTCTGCACTCAATTGGATAGAGCTACAACCAATAAGAGCAACGGAGTGCGTGACGTATGTTAAGCGAGGCATAGTTGTTGTCCACAAAAATCAAAGCGTGCAGTTTCACGCCTAGAATAAGAAGATGAGACTTGATCGCGTTTCTCTGTTCCTCTTTTAAAATTAATTTGCTGTCGATATCTTCTAGAACAGACCTAATAGCAGAATCTACTCACCCAAACTCTCCAGCGGCAGCCATTATTGTTGTCACCGTAGCGCGCTTTGGTCACGTGGTTGATTACGTTACTCTTGATCATCTGTCCATCATCGTATAAAGTCCGCCCTGACAATTTGATTGGATCGCCTGACAGTGGACGATAATACTCGCGCTAATATGGAGCAGAGCCAGACCGAACTTCCCCGAACTCAAACCTTGTGGGCGGGGCTAAGTTCTGACTGGCACCCAGGCTACATTTTTCCCCAGAGGTGGCAGAAATTTTATAGGGGTGCTTTGTTTTAATATCATGAAGTGACTGTCTGCTGTAATACTCACACACTCATAATAGTGAATGATTAATTATGTGCAGACAGAGGCCAGAGTCTGAATCTATGGTGTGCGAGGAAAAAATTATTTAGTCTCTTCTGATGTTCTCCATAGAGACACAGGTTGAGTCTATTACTTTACTTTATTACTTTCTATCTGTAGAACAAAACAAGATGTGATGCAAAAGATAACTTTAGTTCCTTACATGACTTTTTTTTATCCTTTTGCTCCCTTAATGGAATCACAATCACGCCCTGTTAAGGGCCTAGATCATGCAGAATCTGTTAATTGGTGAAAATCAGTTTTTTTGCTTGCAAGAGGTCTTTTTCAGCCTTTAGGAGTGGTATATTATGATATAATGAAGTGGGTGGCACTGAGACAAGGAGAATCAGCTTCACTTGGATGAATAAGGGTTTTCTTAAAGTTTGGAAGAAATTGATATTTAATAACAAATCCATGCTCAGTAGAGTCCTAGATACATTATTACATCCTGTATTTGCCTATAGATGATTTTGAAATGCTTAATTCAGTGGATGTTTAATTGTTGTGTATTTTTTTGTGTTTTGGGGCCATTTGCTGATCTAGAAGTAACTTAGTCTAGTTATCTAACTTGGCGTTGCTGTTTATTCAGAGTGTTTAAAAAGCAAAGATGTGCCTGTGGCTGAAGGCCGTCCACCAGTCCCCTGTGTGTAATAGGAGTTGACCACTCGGCTCTGCCCCACACCTGACCTTGAAACAAATACATTCTCCAGAGTGTTGGTGTAGGTTTGTGTGGGTGCCCACATTCACAGCCATCATCGCTCTCTCACTCAGAGCTGAATCCTGAGGGCTATCTTCTTGGCTGCAGCATAATAGTTAATATTCATAGCATTGCTGCAGCTTCTTCATACAATAACAAGTCTTGGCACAAAAAACTATTGATTGTTTTACTCTGATTTCTGTGCAGACTAAAGAGAAGATTTGAAGGATGCTAACAGGTTAGCTTTGGTGGAGCAACCGCACACTGGAAGGCATTTTATTAGGATTTTATGTAGAAATCAGCACAAAGTTATGTATTATAGTGAGAGGAAGGGGAACAAATCGATTGGGTCAAGAGCATCCAAAGACAAAATGGCAGTTCTCACCTTAATGCTGATTTAAACTTGGATTTAGGTCTGGGCTTTGACTAGAACAATGTTTTTCCACATTAGCATTACTTTTGGTGTCAGCATTGTTAAAAAGTAAAACTACGCCCCAAGTTAAAGTTGTCTATAATAAGTTTAATTCAAGGATAACCCTACCTTTACAGTAGCTGCGTCTTGCATGTCTGAACAGAGTAATCAGGCATTTCTCAAAGCCATATTTATATTAAACTGTCAGATTATCTCAACTGAGCTGTTGACCTCTGTGAGACCACCATGACTGATCCTCTGAATAAATGTCCTTGTTGCTTTACTGTACATCCAAAGGATTGAACAGTGCTCTGTAAGCACTTCACTGCTCCTTTATTCATGCATTGTTTTAACAAGACTTTGCTGTGAGTGAAAAATCTACAGCTGAAATGTCTGGATGATCCTTCTTTACTAATCTACTCTAGCCTCCAAAGGCCTTGACAGAACACCTGGATTTATACTCGATGTTAAATTACACAGAGCTTGGTTCTGTTTACGAATTATGTGACGCACACAAAGGCCAATTTTTTTACATTTCATTTAAAATGAAATAAATGGGAAACCATTAAGAATGCTCTACTATGTTGTTGTATTACATAAATTAATAAAAGACTTGAAATTTGTTATTGTAATGTGATAAAATAAAAAATACATACCTTAATGTGAGACATTTAAGATGTTTCCAGTTATGACAGAAATTTCTATTTTCTTTTCAACTCTTGTAAAATAATCCTTTATGTAGTTAAAATATGGTCGACATCTATAACTGCTGCTGCTCTGCTCTGTCTGCCAGTCTTTCAGGTGGTGGTTGTGCTGCTGTACCTCAGTATGTTACTAGGACTCTATTTTCTGCCACTTTACATCACCTCCCCGTGCATTATGGACCCCAGCTCACTTAAACCGCGGCCGGAGGTTTTCGGGCATCAAGGAGACCCCATGGTTAGTCGGCTCCGTTTTGGCTCATAGATTGTGACAAAGCAAAACAAAACTTGTTATTCAACAAACAAAAAATAATATTTTTTTACTTTGAATAATTTATTCTTTTTATTTTTCGTTCAGTAAAACGGCCAGTAAGTGAGGATTTGTTTATTTATTGAAAAATTAAACACTGAGGTGAATTTATCTTTATAGAAAATCTACAATCACTTTGTTATTTTAAAGCAATCATAAACAGATTTAACATTTAATACTTTAAAGGCCTTAGAGGAATTTATTGAAAATACGTCTATTAAATGAGATTCATGTAAAACAAAGCCCAGTATTAGATTTATAATCAGTTCTTCACACATTGATTTATTGCTGCTGAAGGATTTACACCCTGGAGTGCCACTGACGGTTATGCAACACTCAAAAATAAAAATAAAGAAACAGGTTAGCTAAAGCGGTTACTCCTGTTAGGACACACCAGGCTTTCTGGGGTATTTCTGCAGAGATCAATCCTGTCAGTGGAAGCTAAAATAAGGAGTGTCTCTGCAAGGCTAGGAGATAATAATAATAAAAGATGGGGAGGTAAAAAACGGCTCACATCACAGGACTCTGCTTCCCAGAATGACTCATTATTGATTCCAGCGGCATTCCTATCCCATGCTTCACAGCCAGTAGCTGGCGCTCCCAGGGTCTCAAAGGGAGGGGCCATTCTAGTAAGTGATGTTTTAGTATCGATCATAACATTGACCTGAGTTAAAGAGCAATCCCTGGCACACATTCCCACAAGTTCAGGGCAAGAATTCTGTATTATAATGCATTTTTATGCCTGCATAATAACATTGTGAAAATAAGGTTTTTCTATTTTCTGAACTGTATGTTATTAACTGACAGCAGACATTGTTATGTCTTTTTGGTGACTCTATTCAGCTGGCTCCAGAGAACACACTGCTGTCCTTCCAGCGAGCACTGCAAATGAACGTCACTGGACTGGAGGCTGATGTAACCATAAGGTAAACACTTCAAATGATCAATACACAGCAGCACAATGAAGCCAAACACACCAATGTGCCTAGATTCTGGTTCCCTGTGTTTTGAGGTCATAAACCACTAAAAATGTCCCCAAGATTAATTGGAGGATACAGCAGCTAAAGCCAAGCCTTCCTCCTGCAGCTTTCACACCAAAGAGAATGAGAACTCCAATTTTTTTGTTTCTGACCTTCACCAGTCTCAGCCAATCAAGCTCAAATTGCCCAATTCTACTCACCAGCCAATTTCTCAGTGCTTTTCTACTCAATGATGGTTGCATAACAACACCAACATAATAGAAGTTGCCTGGCTGAGCTCAGACATTTGGATGAACTGGGTTGATACTTGCCTGACAATTTGTGAAGAGTGGCTGCACATGTCTACTCATGCATGTGCAGAGTTGGAGGCAGAGGTTGGTTGAGTGTTCCTAGCTTGTTCCGGGTGCAGGGTTGTGCACTAATGCTGCATTTTGCTGCACTGTTTTTGAAGGACGTCGTTCATTATCTGCAATGCAATACAGCTTGACTGTTTATTTCCTATACTCATCTCCAGATGGCAGTTTGTGTCGATACGATTTTGTGGGAGGTGAATAAGTGTGATTAGTGCAGGCTTCTGAAAAGGTGGCGGGGGGGTCATTATTCTGGAAAACGACCAGAGAAAAGACTTTTCTCTTACAGGACACCAGAGGGGGCAGGCCCTGCATCAGAATGCACACATAATTGAGATGCACTATATTGATTTGGTTGTGGAAGTATTTCACCTGTAGTAGTAATTGTGACCCATTAGCTTCCTATTTTGGTTTTCTTTTACCAAACTGATTCCAGTTTTATTTTGACAATATTTGAAATTCTAATTTGAGAGATTCCCCCCCCCCCCCCCCCCCCCCCCCCCCAAAGAATTTGGATAGGAAATAATACAGACCAGGAAGTCAGATTTTTATTTTTGCATTTTATTTAAGCTTGTACAGTATCTACTGGTTTGCCAACAGATGAGAAATATTTCCCACCTATAAAGTAAAGAGGTCAAACAGGAATAAAACAATTTCAGTTTTAAATTTGACAAATGATAGGAATTCCAAACAAATAAGTCCCTAATCTTTATTGGATTGTATTTTTTGTATAATTAGTATAAAGATGATTCTCTGAATGATTTTAAAAGAAAAAAAAAGGAAAATGGAAAAATATGCTTAAAAAGGGGTTTTATTAGAGATGCTAAAAGTGTTTTGTTTTCTTTGTCTCACTAGTATGGACGGCGTACCCTTCCTTATGCGTGACCTTACCCTGCGGAGAACCACAGATGTGGAAAAGCTTTTCCCTGACAGGGAGAGAAATAAAGCTTCACAGTTTAACTGGACAGATCTGCAGCAGCTCAATGCAGGACAGTGGTTCCTCAAGGTAGTTCCTGGTTGCTGATATTTAGCTGAATAAGATTTTTTTTTTTTTTTTTTTTTTAAGTCATTATGTTTATTTGAAACCCTTTTGTCTTTGTTGTGTGGTAAAAGGCATAATTCAGCTGTTAATAGTACAAAGTGTCCCATCTCACTGATTCATCATGTGCCCTTTAAGGTTTATGGAAAGTGCAATATTTAGTTAAGCGTTAATGTGGAATACATTTTGGAAAATCACTGCTTTGAAACTGAGATTTTTTTTCCACGTGAAATTATTGCCAGTACAGCTTATTTAGCCATCCATCTGTTATTGGCTGCATATTAAACCAATGAGTAATTAATTTAAGAACTTTTATTTTTATTCAGTCATTTTAACCTGACTCCAAATCAATCTGTTTTCTACAAAACATCAACTGCATGCTGAACAGTTTCTCAAAAAGAATTCATTGCTCTCTGACAGTTGTAAATAAACCCAATATAAAAGTGTAGCTCCACCCCCAAAAAAGATTTGAAACATGTCCAATTAGGTGGTGCCACAACACAGTGAAATGTAGGGATGAGTGCAGAGAGTTAAGTATAGGTGTAGTCAGGATACGAAAATGTTATGCTTCACATGTTTAATGGTTTGGTTTCAGGGATTTTATAACGAAAACATTAATGTTGTTATTTTTTCATTTTTCAAATTATTAGAATACATTATAATATAACCAATATAATTATTGTAAATATATGCATAGTAAAGCTATAACATTCATACAGTGTGCAAAACAATTACAAATTAAGAAATGAATGACAGGCCACGCAAGGAAAATGTATTTATGTTGCACATTTTAGCAGGAAAACTATTCAAAGAATTGTGCATGAGAGGAAATAAAAGTACATTGCAGTGGCATAAAGGAAACACAAATGATTAAAGAGAATAAAAGTGAATGGTTGGAATAAGATGATTATATAAAAAAATAGATCAAATGTTTTTTGTTTTTTTTTTAGTAAAATTGGACTCAAAATCGTAACTTACAGTTTTGATAGTTGGAGTGGATACCACTCAGAGCTCTCACCCCATCTCTTCGTTTCAGTATGATCCCTTCTGGACTGTAAACAAAATGTCGCTACGGGAGAAGAATCTAACCGCCAAGCAGAGCGTGTGCAGCCTGGAGCAGCTTCTAAGGCTGGCCTCCTTTCACAACAGTACAGTTGTTTTCAGGTTGCGAAGGCCTCCTCCGGAGCATCCCTGCTACACCACATGGATCAATGATACGCTGCAAGTAGTGCAGCAATCTGGAGTTCCTCAAAGCCTGGTAGGAGGGAAATATCTGGGCGAATTATTTTATATATTCTTCACTATATCGTTCTGTATCTTGAAAATGCTAATCTTAGAAACTCAAAGCTTTAGATATAACCTATACTCTTCTCTGTTGCCAGTTTATATAATTTTTGGATTGCTTATTGCGCTATTTCTCACACCCCTCTTAGGTGATGTGGACACCTGATGATGAAAGAGCTCAGGTGAAAAGGTTTGCTCCTGGTTTCATCCAAACGTCGTTGGTTAAACGTACACCTAAAGATCTGCAAAGTTCCGGCATCAGCAGGCTGCTGCTTAGATACAACCAAGTCAACACCAATGACATCACGTAGGTGCACACGCAGTACCCTGATTAGTTATCATTTGCCAAAGAGAATGAACTGTACAGGTGCTGGTCATAAAATTAGAATATCATGAAAAAGTAGATTGATTTCAGTAATTCCATTTAAAAAGTGAAACTTGTATATTATATTCATACATTACATACAAACTCATATATTTCAGATGTTTATTTTGTTTAATTTTGATGATTACAAATGACAACAAATGAAAATCTCAAATTCATCATATCAGAAAATTAGAATATTACTGAAGACCAATAAAAACAAAGGATTTATAGAAATGTTGGCCAACTGAAAAGTATGAACATGAAAAGTATGAGCATGTACAGCACTCAGTATTTAGTTGGGCCTCCTTTGGCCTGTATTACTGCAGCAATGCGGCGTGGCATGGAGTCGATCAGTCTGTGGCACTGCTCAGGTGTTATGATAGCCCAGGTTGCTCTAATAGTGGCTTTTAGCTCTTCTGAATTGTTGGGTCTGGTGTATTGCATCTTCTTCTTCACAATACCCCATAGATTTTCTATGGGGTTAAGGTCAGGAGAGTTTGCTGGCCAATTAAGAACAGGGATACCATGGTCCTTCAACCAGGTACTGGTAGCTTTGGCACTGTGTGCAGGTGCCAAGTCCTGTTGGAAAATGAAATCTGCATCTCCAAAAAGTTGGTCAGCTGCAGGAAGCATGAAGTGCTCTAAAACTTCCTGGTATGTGGCTGCGTTGACCCTGGACCTCAGAAAACACAATGGACCAACACCAGCAGATGACATGGCACCCCAAACCATCACTGACTGTGGAAACTTTACACTGGACTTCAAGCAACGTGGATGAAGTGCCTCTCTTCTTTTCCTCCAGACTCTGGGACCTTGATTTCCAAAGGAAATGCAAAATTTACTTTCATCAGAGAACATGACTTTGGACCACTCACCAGCAGTCCAGTCCTGTTTCTCTTTAGCCCAGGCAAGACGCTTCTGACGCTGTCTGTGGTTCAAGAGTGGCTTGACACAAGGAATGCGACAGCAGAAACCCATGTCTTTCATACGTCTGTGTGTGGTGGTTCTTGAAGCACTCACTCCAGCTGCAGTCCACTCTTTGTGAATCTCCCCCACATTTTTGAAGGGGTTTTGTTTCACAATCCTCTCCAGGGTGCGGTTATCTCTCTTGCTTGTACACTTTTTTCGACCACATCTTTTCCTTCCCTTTGCCTCTCTATTAATGTGCTTGGACACTGAGCTCTGTGAACAGCCAGCCTCTTTAGCGATGACCTTTTGTGTCTTGCCCTCCTTGTGCAAGGTGTCGATGGTCGTCTTTTGGACAACTGTCAAGTCAGCAGTCTTCCCCATGATTGTGTAGCCTATAGAACTAGACTGAAAGACCATTTAAAGACTTTTGCAGGTGGTTTGAGTTAATTAGCTGATTAGAGTGTGGCACCAGGGGCCATCAATTTTGAACCTTTTCACAATATTCTAATTTTCTGATATGATGAATTTGAGATTTTCATTTGTTGTCATTTGTAATCATCAAAATTAAACAAAATAAACATCTGAAATATATGAGTTTGTATGTAATGTATGAATATAATATACAAGTTTCACTTTTTAAATGGAATTACTGAAATCAATCTACTTTTTCATGATATTCTAATTTTATGACCAGCACCTGTATGTCAGTGAAGTGTCTAAAATGTTTGCTACTGCCCACAGAGATTACTCCAGGAACAACATCAGCCTTACTTTGTACACTGTCAACGAGCCGTGGCTCTACTCAGTGCTGTGGTGCAGCGGGGTGGCATCGGTCTCCTCAGAGGCCCCACATATCCTCAAAAAGGTGCCTTATCCCATCTGGCTATTGGTAAGAATTGTTCATTGGGTTTTATATAGCCATACATTTACATTGTAGAGAAATACAAGATTTTGATTTTTTTATGTGTATGGATGGATGGCTGGATGGATTTATTATGGATATATATATATATAGATTAGATTAATTGGGGAATAAAAACAATTACTGCCAATAACTGATGTTTAGCACAACTGTAAGTACACCTATTCCTTAATTCTAAAGATGAGTAGCGGGTATATTTTAATTGATAACTATTGGTAATAGGGCTGGGTAAAAAAAATTATTTTAATCGATTTTGAATCGATCCCTTCACATTTTTGCAAAATCGATGTCTAGGGAATGAGATCGATTAGTTTTATAGTGACGCGCGGGACGTTCACATTCAAATGAGCAGGAAAGATGCACTCAAGATGACTTCAAGCCAGATAGATGCAAATATAGCCAATAGGTTGACTGAAGACATTAACAAATGGGGGCGGACCAGCAAACACCCTGTAGTTGTTACAGACAACGCTGCAAATATGGTTCATGCAGTGGAGATAATGCAGCTCATGCATGTCTGCTGTGTCCCCTCTGTGTCACATCTGCTTGCTCATGTGAGGCTTATTTCAGTTTAAACGGTCTGTTTTACAAGTTTGCACTTTGCGTTTAATGTGACAGGAAAAGATAAAATACATGAGTATTTTGAATTAATCGATTTAGAACTGAATGAATCAAAATCGAATCGATTCAGGTCTTTGGCAAAAATACCCTAACTAGTAAGATATGACTTTCTGTCAGTAAGATATTGATAGAACAGGATGCAGAGTAGCATTCCTCTTGGTCACTGGTTTGGAGGTTCGACCAAACCTACAGCACAGATGTCTGCCACAAACACAGAGATGAAAATATGAGATTTTCTACTAAAAGTAATCCTGAGAAATTAGCTTTAAAACAAAGAATATACATGAGGGAAGGCACCTTGGTTCTCATGCAGGTCTCACTGCTCCCAATGGGAGTCTGGTAGGAGGCCTCATATGGGTAAAATGTTTGTCTTTATTAGGCTGGAGATTTAAATTGAAAATCATCACAGCTGATTGTTTTTTCCAATTAATGTTTAAAGAGTTTGACACAAATAGGTGTGAATTTATGATGTAGAATTGATACACACTTTCAATTTAGGTAAGAAAGTAAGAATATTATAATCAAATCATCTTGACTGAATCATTTCTAATGACTAATGTGATTTGTTGTTTTTTTATTTTAACATTGTTCTATAGAGTAAACCTGCCATTAATCTTTCAGCTAAAACTGCCCAGTTTGTTTATTTCCTGTTCTCGGCATGCTACCCTATCAGTTTTTAACACTCATTTAAAGTCTCTGAGAGGAGGGGTCCCTGTAGCGTACCCCTGAGCTGCTCAAACCCTGGGTTTCTCGATCATATATCTACTGAAGCTTTTTTACACACCATCATGCCTCTGGCTGTGAAGCTCTGGTCAGGCCTGGCATCTAAGGTGTCACTTAATTGATAAGTAACTTATATGATTACACGTTCACAACAACACTGCACACAAGGTTAAAAAAAAAAAAAAAAAAACCCAAAAAGCCTAAAACATACGCAGCTTGAATCTTTATAATACTGAACAAGTTACAAAAGGAAACAATCAAAAATGACGAAAAAAAGTGAATATATATCCTATACACTAATATAAAAAGCAATTTATTTTATATTCACATATTTAAAGGAACTCCTAAACTTCCTATTCCCCTGTTTGAATAACAGCTTGCAATTGTTTGAAAAGTATTAATATCCTTTAGCCTTCTTCCCTATTTTCTGATATTACAACCTCAAATTTCAATGTATTTTATTATAGTTTTATGTGATAAACCATCTAAAAACAGTACATATTATGTTATTCATTTGGATTTATTCTGATGCCTCTCAATAAATTTGAATGCAGCTAACTGCATTTAGAAGCTAATAGGTTGTTGTTAAAAGCGTGCATTGAGATAAAAAAAAATCCAACTTTGCCTTTCTTAAGCAGGGAAAGAGAACTTAAATAGGACAATCCTGGAAGAAAACCTGGTGGTAAAATGACTCAATGCTTGACAAACACTATTTTACAAGCATTCTTGTTGCTTGAATTTATTGCCTTCTAAATTTAGGTCACACACCAAAGGGGATGATTGATATAGAAGCATTTTTTTTTTTTATTAATGTATGCAATTTTTCAATTTTATTATGAAACTTAAGGGAGGCAAAAAAACTCTGTTGATCCAATTTGGTAGGAAAAAGTCAGATTTAATTTTTAAGCGATATGCCCAGCCCTAGTTTGTGCAGATGTTTTAGAAATATGGCTCCATCTGGTGGTGGACTGTCCACATTGCAATTGTATCATTCCAGTATGCATGTGCTTTCAGAGGCCAAATGAATACTGCCTGATGTGGGTGTCTGCAGACCTAATTTCCTTCGCTGTCGTCATCGGAATATTTATTTTGCAAAAGTAAGTTCGCAAACTGTATGATTGTCAAACTGTTAGGGTAAGTGAACATACAGAAGTTCATGTCTTTACTACATTATGACAATTAAAGTATATTTGTACCGATAACATCACTCTTTTCTAAATGTACAGTTTAATTGACACTACTCTGGTTTTTCTCTTGAAAGATGGTTTTTGTTTGTTTTGCTGATAACTCTTCCTAACCCCCTTGGATGGAGAGCTTTGGTGCCCCTCCTCTCTGTCCTTGTAACCATCCGGTACAAGTGTGTTTTCTTCCCAGCTTGTGCCGCCATCTAAACTGACCTCTCTTTTCTTCTGCCCTCTTTTGTCCTTTTTTTGTCTTTCTGCCTTTTCCCCTGTTCTCTCTCTTTTTCTCCTCCTGCCATGCATGCTCTCCTCCTCTGCCTCCTATTCTTCTGCTGCATTCTGGCATCTTCCCTCAGCTATCACACGATCAGGTAACTGGGTCGCCTCCTCTGGCCCAAAAATCTTCTCCACTTTTACCCCCTTTCTGTTTGCGACCTTTGAACTTTTGTTCTCTTTATTTTTTCCCCCTTTGTTCACATCAAGTCTTATTTAGTTTTCTCACCATCTCCACATCCACAGTCTTTCTGTATTCATTCTCATCTGTATATCAGCTCTTTTACATCCAAACCTTTTTATTGTATTGCTGCCTTTTTCTCAACCACTCATTCCTCAAATGGATCTAGAATCAATGTGCGCAAACCGCAAAATACCTTTAGAAGCCATAACACTTAGCAATTATCAGTCTAACTCACAAACCATAATGGCTAAATAAAGGATAAGCATTTTATTAATCTTGATTTGTTTGAAAGGACCCACAAATTTTATTTGTTAATGCTGATAATCTAAATTATATTCAATTCTCTAACCTCTGCTCATTAGTTGCACTTCATTATGAGTAATACCCTTTAAGTTAATTAAATTTGTTAGAAAAAGCTCTTTTCATTACTGTAAAGGCCATGTTTCCCCACATGACTGCTAATCCTTAGTAAAACAGGAAGAGCTATAAACTGCAGCTGCACAGATCTTCTCATTAAAATGTTCAGCGCTGCTGGATAATGTAGTGTATTCTCAGTAGATGCATGGCATTATTAATTGCTTTGCTGGCAAAAAGCCCTTTCCTTAATTGTTGCTTAATCAAGCAGGAGCTCTGTAAATTAGAAACCATAGTGTGGATGAAAAAAAATCTCTTTGAAGAGCCTGGACACTTATCTGCTGAATGGAAGCAGCACTGGATGTGCTACAAATCGCATTAATTAAAAATCTCATAAGTATGTATTTATTAGTTAGTCTTTGAAAAACAGAGAGGACACTTGGTACTGATGTTTATAAAGTATTTCTTCAGTACCTTGGCAACGACTTGGTCATTAAGAGTGTTTCATCTTATAACTAGAGAACACTGAGAGCAAAGATCTTGTCAAGCAGGTTATTTCCCTTTTTCACAATCTTAAAAAAATTTTGATCCAGATAAACACAAAGATGGAAGGGCTTCTGAATACGGCTAAGACACACCTGTGTTTACAAAAAACGACAACAAAACAAGCATTTTTAGTAATCCATTGTGTCCTTGGTTTAGTTTTTAGTTTGCAAAATCAAAAAAAAAAGCTAACACTTAAGAAAAAAGCTAGCTTCTCTGTGCAGGTTATTGTTGAAGAATAAATGCTGTTTCTGCATTCAAGCAGGTATGTAGATGTGAATGGGATTAGTAGAGTTTTTTTTTTTTTTTTTTTACAAAGTGGGGAAATTTAGTCTCCACAGATGTGGAGAAGCTTAAATTGGCTGTAGTTACTCTTTCTAGGGCTCTGGTGGAATCCACTACAAATATTCCTAAACCTGGATACCAACCAAAGTTTAGTGGGTTCTAAATTGAGCGAAAACACCTGTGATAAAAATTTCATTCAATAAATATTCTTGCTAACCAGCAAAGAGCCTATCACTACCTCCTAGATCGGGTAAATATCTCCTTACATTGACAAAAAATTTTAATTGTCATGTTGGTCAAACATTTTCACAATCTTAACGTCTCAGAATGATTACCTGAGTGAATACAACCTGTGTGGAAACTCTCTATTCTGCATTGTAGCAGAAAATCTTCGAGGATAAAATTAGATTGAAGGATGAAGCAAAATTGGGTAAAGCAGTAACGATTGAACACAAAGCTAGCAATTCTACCTCTACATGACTGTAAAAATCAAATAAATAATTAATCTAGTCAGTCTTTTCTCAAATACAGTTAAGATGTTGTTAAACAAGCTGCTTATTCTCTAGAACCATTTCAGTTTTAGAAGACTGATTGGCAGGGATGCATTTATTTTATTGGACTATGTTAATTTGGAAATGAAGAACTGCCCTTTTTATTTGCCCAAGTTACTTTTGTTCGTTTGTAGATCTGAGGGTTCTTAAGATAGGTTTTTCTACTTGACAAATGCCTATTACCACATACAGATTCTTGTAAAGGGGCTGTGGACACTTTTAAAACGTATATTGGGACTTTATGTAAAGGTGCAACATCACTTCACACAACATAGTGGGGAGTGGTGGCCTAGTGGTTAATGCTTGGAATCCAGAGGTTCTGAGTTCAAGCCCCACTCCCACAGACTGCCACTCTGGCTCCCTGAGCAAGACCCTTAACCCCACACTGCTCCCCGGGCGCCGCACGATGGCATGCACTGCTCCCCAAGGGGATGGGTTAAATGCAGAGAGTTCAATTTGTTGCTCTGTACTTGTTAGAGTGTAATGACAATGAAAAAAAGCTTAAAAAAAAACAAAACCTATGTGAAAGCAAAGAAGGAAAAAAAAAAGGATACAGGGACCTAAATTAGACCAAAATGGAAATTGTTGTCTCTCAGGTGGCAATAAATCCAACTGAAGACTTCAGAAGTAACGGGGCAAAATGTGAGATGGTTGAAGGAGTTTAATTAATAACCGATATTGTAGGGTAAGACTGTTAAAGTTGACATTCTTACCTGTAAGAGCTAATTCAGTTGATTAGAATATAAAATTAGCATGAGGGTTTTTATCTGTTGCAGGTTTAAAATTCATTTATGATTTTGGAGAAGGATCCTATGCATTTTTTATTTTATTAAGCTTACTCCCTCCTCTTCACCAACAGTCAGATCAAACTGAGAGCAGGTGCTTACCTTTGCTTACCTTTTGTCAAACCTGTCGTTAGATAACATTCTGAACAAAAGAAACTGACCCTAGCTCAGTGGTCATTTCAAAGCAATTTGAAGTTTTCTCCCAAATCATTTCCCTCAGAAGGAGGCAAAGTACTCCAAGCTGATTATAAATCGTCTGTGATTACTAAGCGGAGTTTGTGACCTGTGTAGGTATCGAATGAGTGGCATGCGCAGCTACAATCCGGAGCAGATCATGCTGAGCGCAGCGGTCAGGACGTCCAGCCGAGACATCAACGTCATGAAGGAGAAACTCATCTTCTCAGGTAAGAGTCTTACTTTGGTTTTGTTTAGTCGTTCATTTGAGTTCCTGGACTTAAAGCCACCAGTAGCAAAGCACTATGAACCCCTGTCAGTCTGCATGTGTGTGTGATTTATGTCGCTGCTCTCCTCGTCTCTTCCATGTCGCAGTTCAACCCCAGTAATGGGTCACCCTCCAGCATCCTTTGTGTGACGTGTCGCCTGACCATCCTACCTCATCCGTTCTCTTCGCAGGCAGTGACTGTCTCTTTTCCACCCATACATTTTCCATTGCTTTTTAAACCTGTCCGCCCACTTTGCCTGCTGTTTCCCTTTAATCCATGCCTCCATCCTTCCATGTCTGTTCGCCTCCCCAAACCTCCTACTGCAACATAGTGTAGGAGATGTTTTTGTCTAGAGAAGCTCTAGTCCCGGGGAACAAAAGTAAGTCCATGATTTTTGTAGGATTAAAAGGTTGCTGTAGTTATTGCATGCTGACTTTCTTTTTGGTTTTGCTCTTGCTCTGTCGCCCTCTAGAGGAGAGGAACGGTGGCAGCGCGGAGGAGCTGTTTGAGGAGCATGGCTTCGACTCCTACACTAATCAGAGCATCAGCCAGTGACTCTCAGCCCGGTTCTCTAGTGTGATGAGAAGTCTCCCCTCTGGCCTACTGATGAACTGTTGTATTAAAAAAAAAAAAAAACATCCAGTTGCTCTGTGTACACTGTAAATAATGTTTCTGTTTCTTCTCACGGACTACAGGTTTATCAAGCTCTAATTTCAAACTGAATTGTCTAATCTGATGATTTCTCCTTTAGCATCTAAACATTCAGGGCCCCCTTATCTGCTTCTTTACTTAAAGCAAAATTTCCAAAGTGGCGGATTATTATTATTATTTGAAGCTCAGTGAAAGTTTTTGCAGCATGATGCTCCTGCCTGTAGTTCAAGAAACGAATATTTATATTTAAAGATATAAACCTGAAACTGTTTACAGATGTCTTGCCTTCTCCTCCAGATGGATTATTCTCACGGTGCATGTAAAGTATTTTGCTACCTGTCTGCCTGTCGTACTTATGATCACTTGATCCAAATGTATGAAACTTCTGGACTTTATGTGAGCTGTGCTCCCAGTTAAACCAGAAGAGCAGGTGAAAATGGTTATAGGATTTAGATTCACTGTTTTTGTTGTTTATTTTTGATTGTTTCCTTTTGTAACTTCTTCAGTATCATAAGGATTGTGCGTATTTTTATTTTTGGAGGTGGGTTGTTTTTTTTGTTTGTTTTTTTACCTTGTGTGCAGTGTTGTGATGAATGTGTAATCAAAAGTAATTTATCAACAAAGTGACACTTTAGTGATTACAGGATGAATAAGCAGGCCTATAGATTTGCTCTCATTCTGTTGTATTTTCATGTTGGGGAAAGATGCATGTAAGGAAAGATGCATGTAAGGTGCATGTAACTGTCGGTGTAAATACTGTTGAACTCGGGGGAACATGGCCGGGAATGTAAAGTGAAGCTCGTTGACGGGATGCTGCAGGTAAAAAGGGGCAGAACATACCAGGAAACTGGTCGCCTTTTGTTTTTATTTTATTACATTGTGTATTAGTGTGCCTGAGAATTAAAGTTGCATTATTCAAACACAGAAGGCGTCATTGGTGTATTTCTCTCTGCTTAGGAGTCCTGACCCCCCCCCCCCCAAAAAAAAACCAAAATATTCTTTCATTTCTGACCAGAAATAAGACATTCACATTTGTGCAGATGATCTCCAGAGATTTGTTGTGACATCATCTAGATGCAAAATTGATGAGTTTTGGTTTGAGGTTTTATGATCACAATAATGCATTTATTTTAATACAATTATTGTAGCTTTTGATGCAAATTTATTGCATTTGTTACTTGCTACTTGAGTGTAAATTTGTTATTAACCTCAAACTACAAAGTACATTACCCTTTTCAGTTTTGTTTGTTCATGATCAAGCTGCCTTTGACAATCATCACCACTCTGCATATTCAAATATGACTGTTCTTTTTCAATTTTTTTATTTGTAAAGTGCATGTAAAATGTCACAAATGGCTCCTCAGCCCGTTGCTCCACGTGGCAGTACTCAGAGGTTCCAAAGCCTCAACTCCATGCCTGCAAATATTTCCTTTGTCACTGTCCTGCTGCAAGACAGAGGACATCTGACCTCTACATGAGAACAAATGGAAACATTAAGGTTTATTATTTCTTTATTACTCTTTACACTTTCTATTTATTGAAGCATAAAATTATGAACTGGGAGTACCACTGGTGTTGCTGCAGCTTAGTTATTAGAAACCTGGACACCCTCATGGTATTCCCTAATGATCCCATCTCAAATGCTGCTAAAGTTCACAAAAATTTCAAATAGAAACTATTATGCCAGCAACTTACCGATCATGTGCAACTTTCTAAAGGAGATTTATGCATGTATTTCAGTCATGCTCTGTATGAATGTGTGTAGGTAAAATAAAACTGTTCGCCCAATTCTTTAATTCTGTTTAAATCTCCAATATCAAATCTAATGGCAAAGCATTACAAATACAATATTTCTACAGCAGGCTAACAAGAAATGGAGAAAAGGAAGGAAGAGGTGACATAAATTAAGGGAGAAAAGGATGGACCCAGCAGGATGGGAAACAAAATGTTGCTTTCATCCTTATGACCTAAAAAAGTTTAAAGGCAGTACTAGACAGCACGGAAACCCTGGGCGCAATCATTCCACTGGAAAACCTACAGTTTGCAGAAATCTTCCAAATCCCCAAAATGAAGGTGGGCATCTTTTAGTGATTGTAGATAAACTTCTCAGTAGATCTTTATGAGCCTTCAAAGGACGTTTAACTTCTTCCACTGCATCAGAATTAAGCTAGAATAACAGACGTGTGGGATGCAAGCTGCACGGATGACATTTAAGAATAAAGACTCAAGAATAGATGAAGAATCACATTTTAATATGTGGAAAAGTAGAACACAGCACTTTCCCTTCTTTATCATGTCTGGTTTGATCCCGAAAACCTCCAGTACAAAAATAGCTCTAAGGTCTATAGGGAAATATGAGCTTTACAGGTTTTATACTAAAGCATATTTTACACATTTGTTCTAAACTACATTTGGCACAAAAAAGCAGGGAAATGTTACAGAAGGAATGTTGGGTGATTTCTGAGGTCATGTTTTTAAAGGCAAAGCAGACAGTGAAGGTTTGACTAAAGATAAATTAAATGCAGATGGAGCCTAAGTATAGTTCTTAATATGAATGTCTGTAAAAGATCTAAAAGTATTGTACAAACAAGGCACTGATGAACAACACTTTGGTCACTGTAGGAATGTCAGAACCCAGCTTCAGCATCCACTCCTATGACATGGTGATTTCTTTAAATACAGTTCTATTATTGCACAAAAGTCCAAACAGGTTTGAGTCCTTAAAGTGCATCACTGAGCGTGTTTATCGATTCTACTTCACATAGTGGCAAATAACCCGTGGCACTAAAAGTAAAGATCCCAAATGGTTCCCTGAAAACCATCAGAACCCTGAAGTTACGACCGCTCTGCAGAGGGGGGTTAAATTAAAATAAATGCCTTCATATATTACAGTAAGTTCCAGTGAAATCCATTAAATCCGTTTGTGAAGCGGCAATATGAAGTGAGGCATTTCAAACAGATTGGCAGCTTTCTGAAGGCTCCGACAAAATGGAATAGCGCAGATCTGTAAAAAACTAAAACAAACTCATGGAAAAAAAAAAACAGAATAAATAAATAAATAGAAACGTTCTGACTGGTATTTAACTGCTCCCTGAATGACGGTTAAGATGCTACAGAGCAGTAAAAACAGACACACCATTTAATCAAACCTGATCAAACTGTTATTACTGCTAGAGCAAAGTGTGCAGCAAAAGCAAATGTTTTGAGTCACTTTGGCTGGAATCATGTTTTGTTCGTCACCGACAATATTTCCCGATGACGGTGGAAGCACAAAGCTGAATAAGCTTCCAGGCATTCAGAAGATGGTGCTATGTTGCGCTGTTCTCTCCCACAGTAACAGGAATCAGAAGTCCTCTCTCTGACTCTGGATTAGCTGAAGTTCGTCTTTCGCAGGTGTCTGTTGGGGATTTCTATCGCGCTCACCTGCAGCGGCCAGGAGCCGCCCATGATGCCCGCCTGGATGGCCACGCCCGTCACCACAGCCAGGTCAGGGTCCACTGAAGTGTTGGGCTCCTTCTCAAAGTACTCGCTGATCAGCTTTCTGATCCGCGGTATCCTGGTGGAGCCCCCGACCAGAACTATCTCGTCCACGTCCTCTTTCTCAAGGTGGCCCTCAGCCAGCACCGTCTTCACCGGCACCAGGATCTTCTGGAAGAGGTCCTCGTTCAGCTCTTCGAACAGCTCGCGAGTGACCACCGCCTGAAAGCGAACTGAAGGGGGAGCGGGGCCCTCTGAGGCATCGTGGGCGTGAAGGTGCAGCGGAACGTTGATCGAGGCACTGGGGTGGAGGGTGAGGTTGAGTTTGGCAGCTTCCACAGCCTGTCGGAGATGGTGGATGTCCTCCTTGAGGACGGGGGTGATGCCAAACTGCTGCCGGACACGCTCAGTGGTGTACTGGAACAACCGCTGGCTGAAGTCTTGACCTCCCAGCTTGTTATTTCCTATAACAAAAAATGGTTGTTTTTGTAATTTGAGGTCAATTTCTTTTTTCATTCTGCATTTTTTTTTTTAAGTGTGTGTTTTTTTGCCTTGTTTCCTATTTGGTTGCTGTGATCTAGTTAAAGGTCTAATACTTCCACTGAAACAAATAATGTTGCAGTATTATATGTAAAGATCTTTAAGCTGGTTAAAATAAAATGTTTCAAATTTAAAATAAAAAGCTGAATGATCAGTGCAATTCTGCACACTATTATTATTGAAGCAAATTTAAACATATCGTGATATATATTGTGTATCGCGATTATAGCCCATATATATCTTGATATTGGGTTTTCTTCAGCGCTGCCACCGCTCTTCCAAAACCCAGTAATACAAGTAATAGTTTAGCAATTTTTTTTCCCACCATCTCCTTTTCCGTATCATCTGCTGAATTATCCAACTACTTCCACTGCTTAACAGCTTTAAATCCATCGACAATGACTTCTGACATGTTTTGTTATTTTTCTTCTGCACATGCTGGTCACTTCTGAGATAAATTAATAATAAATTAAAAAAATATCGGACAAAAAAGAAAATAAAAAACTGAATTTAACATTATGACCTGCCATGTGAAAGTAGCCTATGTTTCAAGGCATTTTCCTGTCTGAATAATGCAACAAAAATATTTTTAAACTTTATCAGCTTTAAGCTGAATGTTTTTGTGAACCCATTTACCTGCCATTGCCCTGGTTAGAAACATGCCTCCCTGTTTGTTGAGCAGAGACACATCCAGTGTGCCCCCCCCAAGGTCCACCACCAGCACATTGAACACGTCCACTTTGTGCAGGCCGTAGGCCATGGCCGCAGCCGTGGGCTCGTTGATCACGCGCAGGATCTCCAAACCTGTCAAGTCATGCCGAGAAAAGGTGGTGTTGCAATTTTAAATAACGTTAAGGTTGGAGATTAAACCAGACTCTTCCGGCCCTATTTTAATCTTCCGCACAGAAATAAAGCAAGGAGGTGCCTTGCGTAACTCTGAAGCCTCCTTCTAAAGCCGCTCACCTGCGAGGTTAGCAGCCCGGACGGTGTAATTCCTCTGCCTCTCGTCGAACTCTGCAGGCACAGAGATGACTGCCTTTTGGATGGGTACTCCCAGCTGCCGCTCTGCCATCTTCTTTAACCTCATCAGCAGCCTAGAGCCGATAAACTCTGGGCTCACTGTAAAGGTGTGGTTAGTGGAGATCACAAATTCTGCACTTCCGTTGTTGTTTATCACCTGAAGGACAAAGCAAAGGAGAGGGAGGAGATAAAAAAAGGTTTTAGAGAAAAAAGCAAAAAGCAGAAGCAGTTTTCGGAACTAAAGTCATCTTGACGATGATATGGACGATAACAGGCCATTTCTTCAGTACAGTTTGATACTAATTTATCTGATAATGACTTGCAAAGCACAAATATGCCATCATTTTTTTCCCCTTTTAATATTTTGTTGTTTTATACTTCATATTTTGCTTCGATTTGGATTTTATTAGATAAACCAATAAGAAAAAAGCACAGACATGAAGCGTGGGAGTAAAAACATTTTCAAATTCCTAAATCTTTATAGATTAAAAAACAGAAAATGAAAAGAGAGCCTGAGAAAAGCATCCCCACATTATGATGCTACCACCACCATTTTCCAAATAATAATAATTCAACTTTATTTATCTCACATTGGGGAAATTTACCTCTGCATTTAACCCATTCCCTCTGAGGAGCAGTGGGCTGCACAGATGCTCCCCCAAATTAAATATGCTACTGTGATAACAGACAGTTTGACCCACCTGAAACGGGTACCTGGTGCTCTCCTGCTCCAGGAGTCCAGCTTCAAAAATCTTCCCAATGAATCTCTTGGAATCGTAGACGGTGTTCTGGGGGTTGCTGTCCGCCACATTTATGGCTTCGTACCCGGCTAACACCGCGGTGTTGGTGAAGGAAACGGCGCTAGGGATGCTCTTCCTCCCCTCCTCATCCTCTATCACCTCCACCTTCCCGCTGCCCGGGAGGAAGACCCCCACTGAGCAGAAGGTGGTGCCCAGGTCCAGGCCGATAACTTTGGGTTTTGGGGGAGGCAAATACTGCTGGCCCAGATACCCGGCCAGAAACAGGGCCAGAATTACCGAACCTAAAGCACCGAAACCGAAATTAATCACAAGTGAACCAACAGGCTAATCTTCTGATGTGTTTCAGCTTATAAAACGGTTAACTATGAAACTTACCGATCATGGAAATCTCCCCGGACATCGTTACAAACAGCTAAAGCTTACTGCGGAGTCCAAAAATGTCGCTAAAATGGAAACCCCGGCTTCAACTAGTTGATGTAGAGAACTAAAATACACGTCAACGTTCCATTACTCGCTATGGGTTGTGGGTAATGTAGTCAAAATGTATTACCAACTGCTAGGAGTACAGTTCAGCTCATGGTAGCTTTCGACTACAAATTCCACCATAACTGCTGCATAGAAATAAAATACGACGACATCTTCCGTGTTCTCGGCCAATCAGATACAGAAATAAGAGTCGTATGAAATATTTGCCTTTACAAAACCTCGGAAATTAGACTTTCGTCATCTTATCCATGTTAACAGACAAATATGGACATATACAAAAACAATGTAGTGACATGTCAAAATTCTGGCTTTTGATTCAGCAAAATGCTAAAGTTAACGTGATGTAAGGAAGTGTCTTGTTGCAGAATGAGTCTGTTTTTAAATGTTTCTTTTTTCCTACGTTTTGTAAGTTTCCATTGGTTGTAACATTACTGCCATTTATTTATTTATTTATTTATTTATTTATTTATTTATTTATTTATTCATTCATTCATTCATTCATCTCTTTTGCTTTGCAATATCTAAGTTTATAATATATCATATATTATAAACTTAGATCCTTCTAAGTTCTTCTTTACCGGTGTATTTTATTCTTCTAATAAAAAAGTATTCTCTTTTTTATGTAAGAAAGAAAAGTGGTGATTCCTACTTGAAAATTAAAATATTTTTTTGTTCAATAAAAAAAAAAAAAGGAAATGAGACTTTTTGAGGAATGGGGGTTTCTTTTTTATGTCTTTGTATTTGCTTAGATATTGAATATGTTAAATCGCCTTTCAATCACTACTTTGACTGTTCTGAACATGCCAAATATGTCACACAGTGTACACATTTAAATTTAAGTATTTGAGTTTCTCTGTAGGTACCTGTGCACTCTAACAGTACTGATCACACAATGGACTCATTTACAATCTTTTATGACCTGGAGTTCTTCATTGAAAAGGGAACATTTTTCAAAGATATGGATTCTTTTTTCCAGAGAAAAAAAGTAAAAAGGATGTCTTTACATTTTCTATTTACAGGTTAAAAAAAAATTCGAGGTAAATTTAAATTTGATGAACTAGTCAGAAATCATTTATTTGTTATATATGTGTTTAGTCTGCAAGTTTAAAAATTTTTCAATTTTAATGTTTAAAAAACAATAATACAATTTTATTGTCCCATGGAAAGCAGTGTTTTCCATTTTAAGTCAAATCTAGAATTTTACACATATAAGACGATTATGTTCTTTATTTTACTTATTTTTTATTCTGACAGGCACCTTACAGTAAAAGTGTAAAAATATATATTAAAAATGTTAAAAACGACAATATTTTAGAATTTTAAATATGTATTTCTATTATTATTATTTATTTTGTGATTATTGGCTCACCATCACAAAGGATGTTGATGATTGGGTAATTAAAAAATGGTCACACAAGGGTACCTTAGAAAAATGTGTTAGAATAACTTAATAGTGAAGAGTTAAAAGATAAACAATAAAATACAGAGCAGTAGGCCATAAATACACTCACCGGCCACTTTATTAGGTACCCCATGCTAGTAACGGGTTGGACCCCCTTTTGCCTTCAGAACTGCCTCAATTCTTCATGGCATAGATTCAACAAGGTGCTGGAAGCATTCCTCAGGGAGTTTGGTCCATATTGACATGATGGCATCACACAGTTGCCGCAGATTTGTCGGCTGCACATCCATGATGCGAATCTCCCGTTCCACCACATCCCAAAGATGCTCTATTGGATTGAGATCTGGTGACTGTGGAGGCCATTTGAGTACAGTGAACTCATTGTCATGTTCAAGAAACCAGTCTGAGATAATTCCAGCTTTATGACATGGCGCATTATCCTGCTGAAAGTAGCCATCAGAAGTTGGGTACATTGTGGTCATAAAGGGATGGACATGGTCAGCAACAATACTCAGGTAGGCTGTGGCGTTGCAACGATGCTCAATTGGTACCAAGGGGCCCAAAGAGTGCCAAGAAAATATTCCCCACACCATGACACCACCCCCACCAGCCTGAACCGTTGATACAAGGCAGGATGGATCCATGCTTTCATGTTGTAGACGCCAAATTCTGACCCTACCATCCGAATGTCGCAGCAGAAATCGAGACTCATCAGACCAGGCAACGTTTTTCCAATCTTCTATTGTCCAATTTCGATGAGCTTGTGCAAATTGTAGCCTCAGTTTCCTGTTCTGAGCTGAAAGGAGTGGCACCCGGTGTGGTCTTCTGCTGCTGTTGCCCATCTGCCTCAAAGTTCGACGTACTGTGCGTTCAGAGATGCTCTTCTACCCACCTTGGTTGTAACGGGTGGTTATTTGAGTCACTGTTGCCCTTCTATCAGCTCGAACCAGTCTGGCCATTCTCCTCTGACCTCGGGCATCAACAAGGCATTTCCGCCCACAGAACTGCCGCTCACTGGATGTTTTTTCTTTTTCGGACCATTCTCTGTAAACCCTAGAGATGGTTGTGCGTGAAAATCCCAGTAGATCAGCAGTTTCTGAAATACTCAGACCAGCCCTTCTGGCACCAACAATCATGCCACGTTCAAAGTCACTCAAATCACCTTTCTTCCCCATACTGATGCTCGGTTTGAACTGCAGGAGATTGTCTTGACCATGTCTACATGCCTAAATGCACTGAGTTGCCGCCATGTGATTGGCTGCTTAGAAATTAAGTGTTAACGAGCAGTTGGACAGGTGTACCTAATAAAGTGGCCGGTGAGTGTATATTTTCGGTTGGTAAAGACTGATGGAGAAGTAGCGCCCCCTGATGTCTGATCAAGAGTACTACCCACAAGTCACATCATTTTTACCATTGTGACATTTGTGTTAAAAGTAAAAATGAAGGCGTGACTGGAAAAGTTGAATTTGTGACTCACAGCAGCAGATTCGTGCAGATGTATTCATTAATTTGTATTTGTGTTAAGGATATTTTTGGACACCTTGCTATTTTGCTAGTTCTCACAGAAATCATGGAGGGGACTGAAACTGTCACTGTAGAGACACTGAGAGATGCAATCTAAAAAATATATCAAGAAATCACAAGTTATGATTTTTTTTTTTAAAAACTGCTTATTTGTATGATACAGCTGCAAATAAATATTTGAACACCTATCTATCCGCTAGAATTCTGACCCTCAAAGACCTGTTAGTCTGCCTTCAAAACATCCACCTCCACTACATTGATTATCTTAAATTAGATGCACCTGTTTGAGGTCATTAGCTGCATAAAGACACCTGTTCAACCCATACAACCAATAAGAACCCTATTACTTACATGACCAAAACCAAAGAGCTGCCAAAATACACTAGAGACAAAATTGTACCCCTCCACAAGGCTGGAAAGGGCTACAGGGAAATTGCCAAGCAGCTTGGTGAAAAAAGATCCACTGTTAGACCAATCATTAGAAAATGGAAGAAGCTAAACATGACTGTCAATCTTCCTTGGACTGAAGCTCCTTGCAAGATGTCACCTCGTGGGGCCTCCATGATCCTAAGAAAGGTGAGAAATCAGCCCAGAACTACTCGGAAGGAGCAGGACAATGACCTGAAAAGAGCTGGGACCACTGTTTCCAAGGTTACTGTTGGTAATACACTGTATTATACAGCTGTAATAGACAAATAGTAAAAAAAATAATATATTGTGGTTTCTGATTTTATTTTCTTTCATATTATATCTCCCAGTGGACATGCACCCACAATGATAATTTCAGACGGCAATAACTAAGCGGGAGAACTTGCAAAATAGAAGGGTGTTCAAATACTTTCCTCCTATATATATATATATATATATATATATATATATATATATATATATATATATATATATATATATATACTTAGCCAACATTATTTTAAGGTTGAGATAGGATCCTTCTGCACTAGACATGTTCCTCCATAAGGATGTGCTGTTTCACTGTGTATTTATCTTTCACCAGGAGACTTGATGATTATTGATATTAATGGCCTTTATTTTTTTAATGCTCACATTTTTACATTAGGTTTAAAATACTTTTGGAAAAAAATTTCTAAGGAACATTGGCAATTTCTCAGCCACTGGTTGTAACTAAGATATGGCATTAGTATTAGAAATGTTATGCTGGAAGAGAGGAAAATGCAAAACTACAACAGATACAAACTGAATTCCAAACAGAATAGTCGCATAATCTGGTGTACCACTACCTTGTCCCATACTGGTATATTTAATGTGTTCAACTACCGTCTGAAGCGTCAATCAAACCTGGGAAGTTTGGTACTTGTACATGAAACTTGATTGAAAATTTTTTATGGAGTAAAATTGTACAAGGAGATGTCAAGGGGGGTAAGAAAGAGGCGATATGAACTAAGGGGAATGAGAAATTAGACAGAGACAAGAAAGAACGCATTAAAACAGAGAATATACAAAAACAGCAAAAATAGACAACACAGAAGATATGCAGTAACCCCTATAAGTGTTTTTCCACACCTGTTTGACATGAGAGGAACACAAAACAGAGAGCATAACAGCAAAAATTCGACAACACACAACCAAAGTAAACATCAAATAAAGCTTCAAGAGCAGCAGGTATCCCTTAGATATCCGTGTGTCGAAGGCAAAACCTATGGTGATTACACAATATATCTGTAGCTGCAGCTGAATATTTAGTATCGCTGTGTATCTGTGAAAACCTGGAACCGAATTCCAGTGTTATGTATGCATGTGCATGCTCATGTATACAGGGTTTACAAAGCTTCTTCTGAAGACAAATCAAAAGCAGGTGGGGGTGGCCAAAGAATCGCTTTACAGAGCCTCTGGATTGATTACGAGGAGACATGAGCCCAAGATATCCAGATCACTGTGACAGAAGGAGGGCAGACATAGGGATGGCTGCATCCACCAGCGAAGGGCAGACAAGAGCACCCGGATCCCGACCCCCCGAAGTCCAAACCCCAACCATAGAGGAAATAGTTCCTAGGTTCCACTGCCACGCCAAAGGTGAACCCAACTGAGAACCCAGAGGTTCGAGATCCAGGGGTACAGCACCCCCCCAGTGGGGTCCCCCCAGGTCCACAAGGCCCAAGCAAGGCCTGACAGCCACCAGTAATTTGACAGCGCCCACTGAAGTGCCCAACCCAGCACCTAACGAACCATCGGCTTGCCAGCTGACAAAGGCTACGTTCACACTGTAGGCCTTGATGCTCAATTCTGATTTTTTTGTGAAATCCGATTTTGTTTTGCGTTTCTGTTCACATTTCCAAATATATGCCACTTGTATGTGATCTCATGTGTGAACTGCAAGCATACAATGCAAGTGTCCCGCATGCGCAGTAGAGGACGCAGTGACATCACAGGCCAGCATGCTCTGTGTTTACAGAAGTAAACATGGATGGTAGTGCCGGAGCGCATCTAGTGATGTTTCCCAACCATAAAAACACAATCTTTTCCAGATGGTTAAACATAAATACTGCTCTGCTTATCATCATCTGCCATCCACAAGTAGACTATTCATCCAGTCATATTTACCAGATCCATCCCTTACATCCATACAGGTATACCAGCACTCAACAGAGACATACACAGAGGCAGACACTAAACATATTCTTACACTCCTCATACATACACTATTCTACTGGGTCTGGGGGCCAAGCTCCCTAGGGGGAATAAGTTATGTGTAGGAAAGGGACAGACAACAAAATGAGGGGCTGGGACGAGGCGTAGCAGGAACACAGGGAATGAAGATATTTTTTCTTTTGTTTTATTTCTTATCAGCAGACCTATTCTTGTTGGTTTTCAGAAAACCCCATCAGGGATGTCTAAATGTGTCCCTGTTCTGTCATCCTCCTTCTGTGGTCACCCCAAAGACAGCACACCCGGAAAAAAGACCAACAACGTGGTTTACGCCGTTCAGTTTACTGAAGAGTGCACAGACCTGCACATTGTAGATACCAAGCAACCGCTGCACAAGTGCATGGCTCAGCACAGAAGGGCCAACTCCTAAGGACAGGACTTAACGGTTCAGCTACACCTAAAGACTAAAGGGCACTCGTTTGAGGACACCAACGTCCATATTCCTGCAAAGGAAGAGATGGTTTGAAAGAGGCGTTAAGGAAGCCAGCTTTGTCAACCTGGAAAAACAGAGGAGGTAAAGGTGATCACAGACATAACCTTTCACCCACCTACAAAGCACTTTTAGGAACAATAACCAGAAGATTCCCCTCACATCCGCCCTTACCTGACTCACATTTAAATGAGGCATGTCACCGAAAACTTTTTTGAGGAAGGAGTAAACGACCCATCAGAACCCCCCATCTGACCTCCTTGGCCAATCTAGAGGGAGGGATCAAAGCCACCTTCTGTCCGCCCTAATTATTTGTTAGACCTAAAGTATATTAATCTCAGCCCCAGTACCCCACCAGTAGTTAGAAGAGAAGACACCATTTAGATGAGAGGCAAAATGTCTTCTAGAAAACTTCACATCTAGTTGCCTAAATTGAATTTTTTAAAGCATGATATAAATGCATCAGAAGTCGCTGGTTTTCGAACCTGCTGTTTTTCCATAACCTGTAGTGGATACTTTAACCCATCTCTTTGTGAGATTCATTTAGAATGAGGATCATTGGAAAGAGGAAATAAAATATAAGTTTTGTCTTTATCGTTTAGCACTAATTGAACAGTTATCTTCTGAAATGTAGTTTCTTCTAGCAAACTAACCAATTTTGTCATTGCTTCTATGACCAGCAGGGCTTGTGGGGACCGAAGGCTGTTCCCAATGTGGTGAACCTCCATTTTTAATAAATCAGTCCAGAGGTATGGTGTAAATTAACTTTTATGTTAGGGTTAGGCATGACTTAAGTAAGGTCTTAATATTGGTTGAAATATTAATATAATACTCTATAATACTTAACTGATTCTTTGGAATCAGTTAGGTATTATAGAGATGGATTTTATTGAATATTATTAAATATTAAATCCTGAGCAACTATTATTCACCCAGTGTTTGAGTAGTTTTGTTTACAAAGCCCTTATTTGAGTAATTTATTAGGTGGCAAATTTTTACTTAATTTCACAATACTATGTTGAGGCAGTGATTCTTACTCCACCCACGTCTGCATGTAATTTAGGTTCCACCTCAGCCACGGGTTACACCTAAATACAGAAAAGTGGGGGGAAAATCGTGCTTTGAAGTCCTGGAAAAAAATGATGTAAAGCTAATTATGGAAATGTTACTAATTGGGAATCATTCTTTCATTTTTGAGGGGAAACATATTTTAATGCTTTCCTCTTGTCTTTGAACGTTGCAATATTGTTGAGTTCTATTCGCCATATTTAAAAAAAAAAACATATTTTGGTTGCTTTTGAACACCTGCAACCACTACAAACCTACACTACATCTCCCCTGCCTTTTCCTGCTATGATTAATACTACGATTCATAGTAATAATTATTGATACAATATTAATGCAGTCAGTCATTATAACTATTATTTCAATTAAATTATCAAACGTTCAATAATAATAGTAATTAATAACAATTATGTTTTGTGTTTTAAAATCAGAAAGCAAGCTACAGGAAAAGTGAATCACAAGTTCATATAGTATAGGTAACTGTTTTATTTATTTATATACAGACGGTTTTGAAATTAGATAAATACAGATGTCTTAAGTAGCGTATTGGGTTTACTCTTTTACAGATACATAAACACACTCTCTCATTCAAAGTCTTGCTCAGAAAAAAAACACTTGTTAATATGTACAGTGTATATATATATATATATATATATATATATATATATATATATATATATATATATATATATATATATATATATATATATATATATATATATACATATATATATATGCCGTCATCCAAACATCTTCACTCGAACCACTACATACAGAGGAAAGAAAAACTGAGAGGGGAAATATAAAAGTGATGCATCTGTGATAAATAAAGGCTTTAAGAATTGCAAAGAAAATATTGGATCATTTGGAATGTAATAAATATAACTGACTCAAATTAATACTGTAATTTGTTTAAAATCTAAATCAACAAACTTTGGAACATTTACTTTTATAAAGCAACAAAAGGATGAGATAATATTTAGCATTTTGGTGACGTTATCCTCCTTAAGGGATCTTTGAAGGAGTTCTCACGTTATACAAACTTCGAGTCAGAGTAGGGGGTGTAAACATTACATGTTGAGAGGATTCTTATAATTCATCATCAGAATCATTGTGAAACTGTGCGATAAGATGAGCGCCTCATGCATCCGCTGTGTCTACAGGCTGCTCTACGTCCTCCTTAGTGTCCGAACACTCTGACGGGATGAAGCAGCCCGAGTCTCTGGGACAGTCGCTGTCTTCTTCTTGCTGGCCGTGGGAGGATTTGTGCTCCTCTGCATTGCTCGTATCATCACCTGCATCCGCAAATAAAAACAAATTAGTGAAAAAACATGTTAGAGATAACGTTTTCTGCCCACATAGGAGGAGATAACAACTGTGGCAAGTGAGTGGAAACTGATCGCTAATCTCTAACTTTTCATTTGAGCTTTTTCTCAGTAGAAACATAATTCTTTTTCAAATAAAGAAAATAAATACCCCGAAAGTATGTTGATTGGTCTTTGACTGAAGAAAAATCCAAATAAATCTTGCATCAGCAATCCTATCCCCCTCTTTCTTTTTTTTTTCTTCTTCTCAAACAGGGACCATTCCTCCACTTTTTAGTTTGTCAGAAGCTCCTATAATCCCCCTGACCACAGCGCTAACCTAATGGAGCACAGCTTGATTAAATTAGTGCCCTCTCATCCACATCAGCAGGCTTGGCAGGGTCATTTCTGCAGCAGCCGCCATCTGTTGGGGCTCAATCTCTCACCCAAACAAACATGCAAACAAACAACCAGCAGCAGCTTCCAGTCTGCTTCATTCACATCTTCTCTGCATCACATTCAATGCATCTCCATCAGGATGCCACGACCCCCCACTAGTGAATGTTCTAGTTCTCTGATTCAGCAGCAGTGATGGGACTAACGGCGTTGAAACTAACGGCGTTACTAACGCCGTTACCTTGTTTTAGTAACGAGTAATCTAACTAATTACTTTGACTGTAACTATAACGCAGTTACCATTGCAGGCACCCCGTTACTGCGCGTTACTCAGGTCACACAATGAACCTTTTTTCATGATAGGACTCGTGCGCAGCTGCGTGAAGCTGACACCCCACCCACGTCAAAAAACTCTGCAAATAGACTGAATGGTTAGTGCAACGTTAGTGCAGATTTGTGCAGAAAAAAATATTGTTTGTTCTACTTTTGTTTAAGAGATATTAAAGATTATTTTTTTAGGTCATCCAGAGGTGCGCGCCTTGTCATGAGAGAGGGGAGGATGAGATTCCGTCTGTCAGTTGAATAGGTGGGTGTTTCTGCTGGTGGGTGTTAACGTACAGCACAGACAGAGAGATGGAGAGTGAGGATGACTCCAGCAGCAAAACAGCGTTTTCCACATGGAAATACCGGTGTTACGTCGAGCTGCGTTTCCCCATCACATAACGGTTTCCTCTGCATCTCCACACAGCGCAGGCGGCAAGAGTCACCGCGCAAGCGACAGGAAACGCGCATGCTCGCTAAAGGCGCGCAACAGTCGCTCTGTGCTCGCGCCACAGGAGAACTATGGAGAGCGTGAACGATCAAATGAACCTGACAACAGCCAGAAATGATAGCCTATATGGAGAAAGGGAGAAATCTGGATGGATGGATGGATGGATGGATGGATGGATGGATGGATGGATGGATGGATGGATACTCTGCCTTCTCAACCTACTGTATTTTTTATTTTAAACATTATTTGATGGCCTTTGTGGCAGGGATGGAGATCCATATTTTATGTCACACACAGAGTATACATCTAGATAGATAGATAGATAGATAGATAGATAGATAGATAGATAGATAGATAGATAGATAGATAGATAGATAGATAGATAGATAGATAGATAGATAGATAGATAGATGTTGCAGTATCTATAACAACCCAAACACACAGGATTTCAGAATTAGACATCCCCAGTTATTAATTTCATATACTCACCGGACCTGAATGTCCTGTTATAAAACTTCACATCGCGTTCCCTCTGATGTCATTTACGTTGAGTTGCAATAAATGCTAAACTGTCTGCAGGTTCTTGTCTTTGTCGTCCGCTCTATTCAGCTGGCTTTGGAAACACAGGCGAGAAGGTGGGAGCCGGGTGGTGAGGTTTACGGGGGCGAGAAACGCAAAAGTAACGCAATAGTTACTTTTACTAGTAACTAGTTACTTTTATTGTGGAGTAACTCAGTTAGTAACTCAGTTAGGCCTACTTTTTGGGAGAAGTAACTAGTAACTATAACTAATTACTTTTTCAAAGTAACGTGCCCAACACTGTTCAGCAGTGAGTGCAAGTTCAGCTCTCATTCAAAGCTGGGCGATAATCAGCCCTCCTGGCTTGAGATGGCAGATTACAGGAACACCTTCTGTCCTGTTAAGCACTTTCTGTCTGACTGACAGGAAATCACCGGTAAGCTGTGTGCAGAGTGGCACGCAGGCCGGGGCATGGTCTAAGCTAGAGATGATTAAAACATGGAATTTTTTTCAGTTCTTCTCCCGAAACAAAACAGTTTCTGATAAGGTAATGAGAACCTTGGTGTCGTGCAAAGGCTGGTCAAAGGCATAAACACTGAAACTGCATGAACTCTTGCTTGTTTTCCAAACATACTAAATATATTTGAATCATTGCCTTGGAGATTTACACTCTTTTTTTCTCTTTTTTTACAGCTTTGTAAAAAAAAAGCTTTTTCTAATTAAGGAGTAGTTTCCCCTTATTCTCTGTTAGTAAGTCTAATTACTGTAAATTTCACCTTTAACAAGCTAAGATTGTTAAAACCAAAACACTAAAGGGAGAATATCTTAGAATTACTTTTGATAATTCATCCCTATGACTCTTATGCTCTAGAACTGCAAGGTTACCGGCGATGTTGTTGAGCTCTATGGTGACTGTGTAAACAAAAATGTTTTATTAACAGGAATAAAAGAAACCAGCCGTTTGCTGATTTCAATACGGTTTTTGCCATCCCCAAATCATCTTTTTATTTTTATTTTTATTTTTATTTTTATTCTTAAATAACCAGTATAGATGGATGTCTTATAATGCTGTCAACATTTCCAGGTCAATATTTTTACCATTTGCTGCACATTTATTTTAAGCCTCCTTTTTTGTCTTGAATAGTATATGTGGCGCCGCCCTCATGCCTAACTGTAGTACTGCATTTGATTTTTGATTCACTGCTGGTTTTAGCTCCAAACTTTGTAACATCAACCAAAAAACTGACGTCAGCAGCTGAGGTATAAAAGCACCTCTGTCTAATACATGGCACTGTAGAGGGTTTGAGTTGCGCTGTCGCTAAACTTTTTAATGATTTTCAGGTTTGCGATTTATTAGCTTAGCGTTCAGTTCTTTGTTTTGCGTTTATTTACTGCGGACAACATAGACCACGTCCAGCCCTCACATCCCACAGATTCCCTGGTCTGCCAGGCGTCACCTCCTTTACCTGCAGTTTTCAAACATTGGATGTGGGCGGAGTAAGGCTCTGAAGGTTAGGAGGTCTTTAAGATCAGTGAGTCATGTTGAGGTGATGAATGCGTGGGCTGCTCCTGACCTTCTACATAGCGGCACTCGGCTGCGGCCAGAAGCTTTCGCCTGTGTTCGGGGTCCTTGACATTCAGCTCTATCAGGTGCTTCTCCTGCAGGTGCAGCAGGTCCTCCACTGTCTGGTAGCCATTCAGCAGCAGGGCAGAGGCGTACTCCTGAAACAAAACAAGCAATTGATGGGATATTTCAAAGGGAGCTTATAAGTAGTTTGCAGATGATAACCCAAATGACTTCTTTAGCATAAATCCAGATTAGTTAGTTAGTACTAAAGTCTAAAACAAATTGATAGTCTGAGGCAAATCCATAAGGCAAACCTCTGACATTTACACATTTTAGTTTAGTACACTTATTATATTTGGGGGCCCTCAATTGTACTTTATGATGAAGTACTAATCTAGGGCATGGTATTGATACGGTAGTGAGAAGGAGAACAGTAACTCTACATTCATAATCCGTTCTCAAAACATGTTTCATACCCAAGGATTGCTGTGAGTAAGTATTAGTTTCTGTTAACTATTTATAAATGGTCATGGTTAAAAAGATTCATAAGATTTTTCACATCAGGGTTGTTCTAAAACAGTGTGTTGCTAAGGCTAGCTAGAAGCCTGGTCGTTTTATGTGACTTTCCTCAAACATGTAAATATCTGTAGCATCTGTGAACAATCATCCGATGCAAACCTAACAAAGGTTCAAAGATTCATAAAAAATCCTTTCTTTAAGCTGCAATGAGTAGGAGTACTTTTAATGTGGTAAACGTTTGCTTTGGTCTCACGCTTTCAGCCTCAGGGACAAAGACATAAGAAATCTCTTTATTATGCAATTAGGAAAGTTCAAAAATCTAGATTCATATTAAATAAGGTGGTTGATGGAGTCATTTGCTTCCTAAACCTTTTTGACAGCCATGGAAATTCCAAAAAACTCCCTTAATGTCTTTGTGATTCAAATTAAAAGTTGTGAGATCAAGCTTTGATTTTACTTGTTTCTGAAAAGTCTGGTTTAATCTCCTAAGCTAAAATCCATAATTTAGTTTTGGCTCATCATAACAAACTTCCTTAGAACCTGTCCTAACCTCTAGGTTCAGCCGCTCCAGTAACTCCAGCAGTGTTTTGGGTCGTGGCCTCCTGCACAGCTTCTGCTGTCTGATCTTTGGAGTTTCTTCCTCAGCCTCCTTTTCCTTCTCCTCCTCCAAAACATCCACGTAGATAAACTTAAAGTTCCCCACTTTGTTGTTGAGCATGCCAGTCCAGATGCCCATCGGAGGCTTGCTGATAATGTGGATGATGTCACCAGCCTGTAAAATACCAGTTAAGATCAGAAAGTTATTTTCTGTTCCAATCTCAACATCTGTTGGTCAAAACTGGAGAATTTAACAGGAATCTACCTTCAGCTTCAGCGAGTCTGTATCATACGGACTGGGAACGAAATCGGTGTGGACCCGAGCCCGACCACAGAACTGGCCCTGATAAGAGCCGTCCTCCTCCAGCTTCAGACTGTCTCTCTGACCGGAGCCGTTGGACTCGCTGGTGATGCCACCTGAAAGGGAAAACACATGATTAAAACACAGCTCAGGTTCTTAAGCATCATGTTATGATGATCAGATGCAGACACTCACTGGAGGAGCTCTGGCCGCTGCAAAGACTCTCCAATGAGTTGCTTGTGTTTGCAGAGCTTTTTTCCACCTGTGGACTACTGTCTGTTTCTGCCTCTGGGTCTTTGTCTGTGTCATCCCCCTGGATCAAACCGAATGACAAAAGAAATCAGAAGGAGCTCAGAGTAGAAACACACTAAAATGATCACATAAAGACAGAGGTTGTGCAACTGTTCTCATCTCATAATCTGCGTAACAGTGAAACTTGCGGAAAGAGGATATTTTTTTTCTCTAGTTTTGCGAAGGTCAGAATAAAAAGCTGCATTTTACTGTTGACAAGGTTGGCGTCACGCGTGAGGATGTGGGTTTGTACGAGATGAGGATGATAAAAAACACTGCAGGGCTGCGTAAATGCAGCAGGTACGAGGGTTTTTTTTGGTTATGTGTCAGCTGAACCCCTAATATACATGAAATCAAAGGCATCTTAGCTAGTGAAAGTTAGTTAAAAGTGACTCACTGTCTCCTCTGAAAGAGACTTGATGTGCTTTCTGCCCATTTTTCTCCTCATGGTTAGTGAGATCTCTTTCATCTTTTTGCCGAGCCCTGCTGATCTTGCAGGGTCTGGACCATCAGACTCTTCTCTGACCTGCGAGGGTTAAGGTGAACAGACAAAAAACGGAAATTTAACAAACCACTTGTGTTTCTGGTCCTTAAACACACATTATTTTCCTGATTGAAAAGAATGACTTGCAAATAAAAAAAAAGCTGTGCAATAATATCTATATCTATATTTTTTCTGTATTATTAGTATTATTACGGTTTAAAATATGAATGCAGAGAAAAACAAAGTCGTCCACCAACCGTGTTTGTCCCATTTTCCTCTGTTTTGGCATGTGAAGAGTGGTGTCTGAGGCCCTCGAATCTGCCAAAGCTCGTAGAACGCTAAAAGAAAAAAACAAACAAACCTGTTTGTGAATCTATTTCCTATGATTGTCTGGCTAGCAAAAGGCTGGATTATTTTTTTTAAAGATATGCATATAAGACATTTAGGTTTTTCTTTTTACATCATTTGTTTTTACGTGTTTCTTTGAAGAAGTATTTGCAGATTTAAAACAAACAGTTGTTCATACAGTCTCTGGCCCTCAAAATTTTTCATAAAACTAATAGTCATCATAATCTCTTCCAAAACTATCCCGCTGGCACACATCATCCCCTGACCACAGCACCAAAATAATTATATAAATGATTAATCCTTGAAAATCCTGGTTAAATATGAGCTCTACCCTCCTAGACAGCCGTCCGGGAGATTGAGTTAACAACGGATTGAAACTGCTTAGATCTGTGCAGCGATGACATGAACAGAACAAATTGTTTTCACAAAGGACCCATTCTTAAAATCTGTTTGTCAATAATTGTTCACATCTTGATTTGACAGCAAAACAGACAATGCTTGATTGTAAATACATTTTTTAACGGTGAGATAAAAAATTGCACTGGAAGAAATGTAAATCTAAATAAGTCATTTTTATTTTTTAAATAAGTGTATTTTGATTTGAATTGAGGAGGTAAGTGAGACACTTTGCCAATGGAATAAGACAATTTACATTTCAAAGGAGAAAAAAGAATTGTATTTTCTTATTTAAAGTGAATATTATCTAATTATTTTATTTGAGTAAAAGTACTCATTTCATTGGCACATCATCTTATTTACCTACTCAAATAAAGGGTAATACACTTGATTTAAGAAACGTTGACTTATTTCTAGATCTTTTTTGCAGTGTGTTACTAAGTTGATGTAAAAGTAGATTTTTTTTTTTACTCATGTTTTTCCACCAGCATTCTAAGCAAGGTTTAGTGTGTTTAACCTACCTTTGGTTTGTTGCTCCTTGCTTTGTCTGACACATTTGATGCTGCTCTTTGTAACATTTTCAGCTGTTTGTTTTCTTGCTGTTGCAGCCAGTCCCTGCTCTTTTCTCGCCTTCACCTCACTGATCTGACAACGATGTGTTAACTAACTCTCAGACTGACTGGCTGATGAGCTGACTAGTCCACTTCCTCACAAAACACAGGATGTGAGGCAACTGGCTGTGTCTTTTGCTGCAGTATCGCTTTGAAAGGGAAAAATACAAATGCTTAAGTGTGCATTTTGTGGCCATCTTAAAAAACACAACAGCGAAGCACTTCCAGGAACAGCTCAGTTTAGGGTTTGTAATATAAATGTTGTTTGATATCATCTCCGACAGTTTAATGAGAATGATGTTACATCACATCAGCAACCAGTGTAGAGTAGACGCGGTTAATCCAGGCAGTGCTGGGTCAGTAATTTCAATGAGTAAAAGCCAGTCACGTAATGTTGCTGGTCATTTTGGTAATAATGGGATTATTCCCTCGGTGCCAATATATCTCAGGCAATATCATTTCAGTGAAGGTGAAAGTAAAAAAATATAAGAAAATGTAGAAAAAAATAAAATCCTGAAAATATCCCTTTTTCATCAACAATGAGGAAGTGGATTATGGTAAATGATGCTTGAGTTACAAATCATTTCTTCATGTGGGGTGAGGACTTTAGAGGAAGTGCTCACGTATGACAGAGGAACAGCTCAAAGTGGTAACTTTGTCATGTTGAAACAATTTCCGGTTTCTCTGACAACAGGTATCATATCCTAGCTTGGAAACAAATTAGATGCACAATCCTGATTTCAGTTGCTAGTTTCAAATGATTAAATTTAACCAAACAGAGGGACCTTCTGCTGAATGCAAGACAGCTTGCATTTTACAAAGGAATCGGCATCTGTCAGTAACCGGGGATTTGTTCCTGTGTTAAGTTGCAGCTGGTTTCATTTGATCGCTTATACAAAAGGAAATTCCACAGACAAAGCTGGGGCCTAATCCAGCTGCCCTCAACCATTGAACCTCTGGCTATTCAGATTAGGATTTCTTATCTAAGATGTCTCAGACTTCTTGCTCCATTTTGATGCAATTGTTCATCTTTCTGCAAAATGGGAAACACTTTACTATCTGCTCCGAGTAAAATTATCTGAATTATTCAATCTTTCTGTACCTTTAAAGATCAAATAAATGACCATGACTTTAAAGCTAGCATTTAAAAAATAGTCAGGATGTAGACGCAGAAAGATGGAACAAAATGGAACCTTTTACACAGATACGCTGAGGTTTTACAGTTTGACCAAAACTGTGCCAAAGGGCAACATTAGGGCATAAGACTGAAGGAAATTATGTTTCTATTTTTTTTATAAAGAATTGTATACTTTTAAAATTGGGAGATAATATCATGCCAAATGTTGCTAAAGAAGCATCTAAGAAAATAAAATACTGTCCATGTATGTATAATAAAAACAGGTTATTAGTTTTAAACTTAACATTTCCTGTTTTGGCTCAATGTTTTAGATCTATTTGTCATCCAGAACTGGTTTCTCTAAGGCTTCATAACCAGCTCCAAATCTCTACACAGGATCATGTATTAATCTTTGATTGTTTTCTCCAATAAAATGTTAAGCTTTGACCCCTGCTTTGTGTGACACATGATGAATCCCGCACGTGTTTACTGGCCGTCATCAAGGGTCACACTCTAAGAACTGTCTATTGTTTGCAAAAGCAATACCCTTCCAGCTCCGTCTGGTCCACTATGTGGTATTATCAGCAAGTAATCACCATACAGAGGCAGAATCCAGTCAATGCTTCATTTGAAATGGATAACAAGTCCAGCTAAGATTTCTATATGGTAACATCAAAAATAAGCAGCATTTTGCGGCACTGCAATAAAATAATACGTCATTGATACTTTCAATGAGGTGAAAAGAAAGTAGTACATAAAAGCTAAGTGGGAAGAATGGTTTCAGGTCTCTAACAGGTCTTCCCTGCTTTTGCTGACTTTTTATGTTGGCCCAAAAAGCTCAATTTTGGTTAATCTGACGGAAGAACTTCTAAGTGTTTTGTGTTCTCTACATACTTTGTAATAAACTGCAAAGAAAACGTATTGCAGCCTTCCTTCCTGTTTTGACACTTTTAAAAAAGACGAGTTGCTTTGAAAGAGTCTCACCTGATGTGTGGATTTCAGCAGCTCTAACTGACACCACTTCTTCTGTTGACATGCATGTTTTAATCGCTGTAACATTATTTAATGACAGCTGCCTTTTCTAGTTAGGTTGTTCCAAATTCTGTTTCTAATTCTGGATAATATAATAATGGATGATATAGAGATATTGTTTAATGATTTAACCCTGCTGATTTCTCTGCTGTATTCTTTGGTCTTCATAGTGCCTTATGGCAGTTCAGTTCCCACCAATTTTACACACAGATACTCTGTAGTTACTAATCAGTTGGGTTTTAAAGTTAACTGTTTACCAGATTTTATTGAGGGGTTGCAGAGTAAAGTGGTTGGAATACAAAAGCCAGAAAAACCTTTGATTAAAATAAAATACAATATTAACAGATTGCTGTATGTATTACTTTCCTTCCATCATGTATTACATCCATGTATTACTTTCCTTCCCATCAGGATTATTCACTTATTTGGTTGGGTCTACCTTAAAAAATCCCTTAGATATTTTGGGTTGTACCCTGAAATGCATATTTGCAGAACACCTTTAGTTTATTCAGATTTATTTTTTAACTTCAAGGAGTTGTCACCTAGAAACACGTTTTCATCCTAAAATGTCTATGTTGGTGTTGGGCTTTACCTAAAGCCTTTTGGAAAATCCATAGTGTGAGCGCTGCATGTGTTTTTTCGTGTTGGCAGGTTATGCAATTTAGGAAAGGCCACGAGTGCGGGTTTCCATGAAGTACGATTATGTTCTCGTATCGACGTCAATACTGGAATGCCGCTAACATTAGTCCACCTTGCTATCACTATACCTATTCCTATATCAAAAGTGGTGATTCCATTCGTCAGTGACTGACTGCAAAGCTGCTAATGTTGCTTATTCTACATCCACAAGAACACGCATACACACAGGGCAAATTCTCACATGTACCCTTGCGAGGAAAAAAAAGGGCTCTCAATGAGCCCAATTTGATACATTTTTTTTCTCCTAAAAATGATTAAACATGAATTTTGGAAGGGCTATAAAAGCCAAACACCAGGTTATGACTCCTTTTTGAAGATTTTATGGTTTAGAGGTTTCCCTGCACCACCACAGCTGATTATCATTGATTGCTAATTAACAGGCTTTTGCTGAACTGCAATAATCAGAATCAGCTGTGCTAAAGCAGGGAAACCTCCAAAACCTGTAGGACAGCGGCCCTCGAGGTGCGACTTTGGGCATGCTTTGGTGGTTAAAACATCCCACCCTGTTACAAAGATTAATGTAACTGGTCCTTAATCTTCTTTGGGGAAACATCCCCAAAACCTAAAGACTCTAATACATGGAGGTCCACCATCATAGAGGGAGCATTTAAAGTAAACCAGCCTCCAAATGAGAGGCTCCCGTGGTATCATTTGGTCATTATGGGACCATGTTAAGGCACAGCACAGAGTGAAGGGGAAAACAAAAATCCAAGGATGTACTGTGTCAAACCTTTATGTAAAGTTTAAGGGAACACGTCTGCATGTCTATAGTTAAATGATTGTTTAATAATTGTCCTTTTTTGGGGGGTTTGAAGAAGAATAGTCATTGCTTACATTGGACTCTGACAGATCCACCTCAGTGATAGATCGTGGCACCTTAGGGAGAAGGTGGCAGTTCCGATTTAGGCTTCCATTCTGGTCTATCTCCAACTGGTGTCTCCCACACCATTCCTTTTCATGTAACAGTGCAGACTCATGGGAAAGCAAGCAGTACTCTGTGAGGGGCCGGCGGCAGGTGTGCTCTACGGTCCCCCAGGCATGGCTACTGTCCGCTGAGTTACTCCACTGCTGATGGTGGGTAGGTGTTGCTCCTCCAGGTAGACTAACCATGTCAGCACAGCGGCTTGAAGTTGTGTGTTCCTGAGTGGGGAGGGTGGAGGATTTGCCAATGTACAGCCTTCTGTCTGACCTGGATGTGTAAGGCAAGTCCAAATAGTGCAGTCCTAAAGGTGGACTCATTGTTCGTGGTGGTGAACACACTGAAAGAGAAGGAGGAAAGTTTGCAAAAGTATCAAGAGTTACAAGGAGCAGAGCAGACAGGGTAAGGATGAAATTGCTGGAGAAGTTTCAAACATAGTTTGGTTTTAAACATCACTAGATTTTTAACATCTTCTGATAAGTGTTTAATCAGTCAGGTTCTTATATTGTTTAGATCAGATCATTGTTTAGATCAGAGCACCTTCATACTCTGTCATATTACTCAGTTAAGTCAAGGCCTAAAACTGACATGTGACCGAGAAGAGCTGATTAACCCTAGTTGCTCTCAATCGATTCAAAGCTGGAGCTGTTTTATAAAGAAGAATGAACTAAATGGTTTGTCCATAGCTTAACATAGCTGCTAGTGGCTTATCCAAATTTTTTATAGATATAACTGCAACAAAAGATGATTCTTCAAAGAGGATGGCTGAATTCAGACATACAGTTGGCAGCAGTTTTCTGATATTAATGAAAAAAGACAAATTGCTTTTGTTGTACTGCTTTGTTCAACTGTGAGGTAGAAAGGTTCAATTGGAACAAAATAATTGACAATGCACTCTGTGTAAGAAAGATATATTTAAAGATATCTGGTAATGGGTTAGAGGAGACTCGGCAGGAAGGCTTCATGTCCCCAAGAAACATCAGAAAAAGAGGAAATATTGCAATGATCTAATGGATGAGTCAGTTTTTGTTGTGCTTTTATTTGATGACTGTTTCTTCTCCACTGAAAATGTGGCAACAGGTTAAAAATCCTGAACTCAAGTGACCCGCTCACATGCACATGTGTTTCTCTCTCAAATGGTAGCGAAGAAGTTGCAGATGGCAGAAATGTTTTTGTCAGAGAAGTAACACTCCTTACCTCTGTTGTTGTGAGTTTTTTTAGACCCATCTTTCACAATTCTTCCACCTGGCTTTTTTCCATTCCGTTGGTTCTTTCTGACAGCAGGTTTGGACTCAATCAACCCGTTGTTATGGACACCCTAAAATGACAGAGCCGTTTAAAACGATTCCAAAAACCCTCAATTATTCCCCCTTCTCACAATTTCTATTCCGGGTGCTATTACTTTTATGTACGCATACATTTCTGAGTCTGCCTCTGAGGCCTGCTGTTACCATATACAGAAAGTTAGGAGCACTATCGCTGCAGCCAGACGGGCTCTTAGCGAGGCAGTGAAAACAGCATCTGATCCAGTACTGGCAAGCTCTGCTTTGTTTACTTCTCACTATGATGGGCATTAATCATACTGGGCACAGCCTGACCGGGTATATAAACCTTCATCCCGCCCACACACATCCCTGCAAAGAGTCCCTGTCATTATAATAAGAGCAGGGCCTCCATTAGGACCATCTGTGTCGTATTAAAACCTGATCACTGTGCGCTTCAGAAAACCGGGTCACAAGCAGATGGAACTCCCTGCTAAGTCAACTGATTCTCTGTTTTACACACAGTCCAACATCATGAGGTCAGTGAAGATCTGTGGTGAATTATTGTTGCTTTATCATCATCTATGTCTACAGACATGTCTACTTTCTAAGGATTTCAAGGGAAAAGAACGTTAGAAAAACAAGAATTGATTCGATAGAGTAATGAAAGCTCCTGTTCTGTTGGCAATTGATAGTTTTCTTTTACCTGATTGGCTTGTTGTTTCTCTCTTTTCTTTGTGCCAGTATGATGTCCTCCTTTACCTCCTTTTTTATCTGTCTGGTGTTTAGGCTTTCGCATTTCTATAAAGGACAAAAATAGAAATATGGAGGTGGAAAGGTATGAAAAAAAACTGTTTCTAAAATTTGAGGTAAACAAACAATCCCTGGAATAAATCTTTCATATTATGCCTTTTCTACACCAGTAAGTAGTGGCAACATCAGCATTAACAGCTCACAAGTTCAAAAGTTAAAGAACTGGACTTTGGGTCATGCTGCGCTTAGCTTCTTAAAGACAGCTGTTTGAATTTATAAGTAATGTTGCACAGGAAAGGAGCCCGAGTTTATACTGAAAACCAGTAGGACTGGCTAATTGCAATGTTTCCAAGTACTAGCTGAAATGTAATCCCCTGGTTTTGAACAGGAACATGGTCAAAATTGAGTTTTTATTGTCTGCAGCTGATTAAATGAAATGAACACCATCAAATTCAAATAAATATTCTTACCTACATTTTAAACTATATGTTTTACCTTAATGTGGCAGCCATATTGGATACTGCACTAGGGGCTTTTAAGAGGGCCCCTTCTTTCCTTGACAGAATTAAATAGCTCATAATTAAAATCGACTCGAATTAGCAGAGAAAAAACAGAAAAGATGAAATTGTGCAACAATACATTAAAATTATTCCAATGCTTTTGTTGTTTCTAACCTTAAAAGTTTAATTATTGAATATTATGTTATGTTGAACTGTTGCTGAATGTTAAGAAAGGCCTGTGAGTTACTTCAACAATTAAATTATCTTTGGGATTAATAAAGTGTTTTGATTAAATCAAATTATCCTCAGTATCCTCCCTTTTGAAAATCTCTGTCTGACTTCATGTAACAACTGTAATGTTTTTAAAATGAAGGAATTTTCAGAGTATGACCTTTGTGTCACCAGAAAATAGATAAAAGGACAGACGTGTGGAGCTCAAAACACAGCAGAAAACCTCAGTCTGTGTTTGTGTATAGATTCTTCTCTTATTCCCAATCATGACAATCTCACCGATGACCAGATTGCCCCCTGGCTGTTAACTTTCCCAAATGCTGTTCACTGTTTCCTTTTCCACATACTGATAGATGCCAGCATGACATGAACTATTTTCATATCATTGTATCTAAAGAAGCAGTTTATAAAAAAATCATAAATCCTATATTTGTGATTTGGTGCATCACCGTAAATACTTTTCTGATTTATTTGTACAAAGCTATTTTAAAAGGAGGCTTAACAGACACACTGTGTAGTTTGCATGTTTTGACTATTTTTTAATACTTTGCTACATATAAATAAAAGTGAACTATCACCTGACAGTCCATTAAAATTTGATACAAATGTCAGGTACTTTTTAAATCATTTTTCAAATCTGAATGTGAAGCTTTCTGTCTGACTGAATGCTAAGATAAACTTTGGGAAGCTTAACCTATATTTTGCTCACCTTCATTGTGATTGTTGGTGATGTGGATTAAATCTTCTTTGCTCCTGGCATGCTGCCACGTCACAGTATTACAGGCGGGGTTATCTGCGGTAGAGAGCGGCAGAAGCCAAGGACTTTGTATAAAAAATGGCCACCAGCCTGAATGGGCTCCAACTAGACAAGCAGCCAAGGTTACAACACTGCATACATGGTTATAGTTCAGATAAAACACATCACATTTTTCTTTACTCCTATCGTTTATTGCATTTTCTTCATCATTTAAATTGTTTTCTGTTCTTCCACACTGCAAAAAAAAAATGAAATCTAAATAAGTCATTTCTTCTTAAATTAAATGCATTTTTTCTTGAATTAAGGATTTAAGTGAGACACTTTGCCAATGGAACAAGACAATTTACACTTAAAATAAGAAAAAACAATTGCATTGTCTTATTTCAAGTGCATTTTATCTAGATACCTTATTTCAAGAGTAAAAACACTACTTCCATTGGCAAATCATCTTATTTACCTGCTCAAATTAAGGGTAAATACCCTTAATTTAAGACATTTTTACTCATTTTGAGATCATTTTTGCAGTGCAGTTTTTAGTTTGAGTACATTTATTCAGTCTGAAAAGAAAGCCTAGATGAAAAAAATAATACTTTTTACTAAATCACCACTAGCCTACTACAAATATTAAGAACCCTTCTGTCAATTTGTTGCTCAACCCATGATACGGATATGATAGTATTTGGTCTTCATTACCATTCCCTTAATGTGGAGCACAAAGAGCTGCATTTTTATAATCTCACAATCCAGAGTCATAGGTTCTCACATCAGAACTTTTTGTACTATTTGGGTCCGGAGCCTGAGAGCATCATGATGCCAGCTATCCAACGATAGGAGCCATTATTGCCTTATTAAGTGCCAATATAGCACTGGTTGCTCTATTTTACTTCTTTGATTGTGTGTGGGACAAAAAAATATTTTTGGCATCTTAAAATCTTTGTTTGTGATGTTTTTTATTGTTTGTTTTGTTTTTTCTAGTATTACATTTAAAAGCTGCAGTAGGGAATTGCCCACTGTAAAAAACAAAACAAACAAAACATGGATTTAGCCTCAAAATGTTAAACAAATACATTTTACAGGTCCCTCCAACTCTCTGCTGTGCTGCAGCTCTCCCTAAAAAGCTTCTTCCCCCCTCAGAGGTGCTTGTAAATGTGCAAGTTGGTGAGCAGGGTAACAATTGAGTGATAAACAGTTATGGCACATTCACTGGTAGAGACCAAATATCCAGGTTTTGCGTTACATAGAACAGCTGCAGCACACTTCAATAAGCTTGAACAACTCTATGCATTTTGTGGTGGGGAGGGCATGAGCGGCATGTATACGAGTGTGATTGACACTAATAAGACATTCTTAATTGGTTGTTGTCCATCAGGAAATTAGTGACAGTTTCTCGAAATTTGTAAAACACAAAATGTACCTACTTTCTCGTAGCTTTTAGCTCTAGCTACAAGTTCATTTCGGGGAGGGCATTGGTTATTTTCTTGTATCCATTTCTTAATATACATAAACAGTTGTACACATACCTTTCTTACATATGTTAGATGTGCTCCTATCTTTCCTATCTTAAAAAGTAGCTAAGCTAATTATACCTCTATCATGTTCATACAACAGCAAAACAGAAAGTTGTAGATTACAAATTAAAGTTAAGGTTTCGAGATGATCTGATCAAGTTAAGACACTAATTTTTATAGGAAAGGTCCGGTCATATTCAGAACTCAAACGTCTGAAAGTATTTTAACTAAAAAATTATTACATACTGTTCAATAAATGATAAGTGTTTTTAATTAAGAGTAATTTCATTTGAGACATCCATGTTTTTCAAAGAACACTACTGCCAACTACCGGTTTGTGAGGTCTTGGTGCGGTATCGGATGTTGAGCAAGTCCCAGTGCTGTATCGGGTGATTGTCACAAAGCGCTATTATTCTGAAAACATTCTTCTTTAAAATGTTGGCAACTTATGAAGTGTTTTTCTCTGACCAGAAGTTTGATGGTAAATCCTTCCTCTTCACGCAGGCGATTCAACGACGAACCCGTGGAGGATCATGAATCGGAAAGGTGGATTAACAAATTTTTTTTTTCACTTTACCTGATGTATTACAACATCCAACTACCATGCACATGGGAATTGTCAGTTTAACTATAGCTCTCGCAAATTTTATTGAAGTACACTTGTATTACAACATCCAACTACCATGCACGTGGGAATTGTCAGTTTAAGTATAGCTCTCGCGAATTTTACTGAAGTACACTTGTAATCTTAACTGCCGGAAGAGCAGGAGTGAGGTGTTACCATATTTGGGCAAAAATTGCCGCTCTCGGACTCAATGATTATTTTTTTTTACTGATTAATGCTAAATTCATTAAATCACTGCAAATGTATTAGTTTTAGGTATGGATAATGATCCATTGATTATTCCTTGCTGACAGGACTTTTCCTTTAAATGTCAAACCTGCTTTATTAACATGCCTGTACTCAATCGTGCATTTTTCAATTTGGGATCCTTTTCAGGCCTTTTAAAATAATTACTAAAATTAAAGGTTTGTAGTGAAAGTAAGTGCTTGAATCATTAGTACTCACCCAGTGTTTCGTTGTCTGACAGAGACTTTGATATATTTGAACTGAAAGGAAAGGAGATGGAATATTAAACAATCCAACGATTTTTGTAATGTTTTACACTACTTGCACAAATCCATATAAATATAAGAAGAAGGAGTATAAAATGTTATCACCAGAGTGGATAGTCAGGTTTTTATATATGGTATCAATATTATAAAGAGGGAACAGTATGAAAACAGAGTAATGTGTCTTTGAAAACCAAAGCCAAAGAAGTAAAGGTAGTGAGGCAACTGGGACCTTGAATCCGCTTAGTTTAACTGGCCCAAAGCCCCATAATCTACCTCCTGCTGGCCCGACAATCTGCAGGGTCTTTCTTCTAAAAAAATAAATAATAATAAATAAAATAAAAAAAAAGGCAAAAGCTTCCCGCGAAGCTCAAAAATGAATATTAAGCTTCCAATTTCAAATGTGCTGTCAATCCCTATAGTTGAAGTGGGGCAGTGTTTGAAATAGTGAGAATCAAGAGGAAGAACCCTGCAAAGGATCTGATCTGTTTTTGCTGCAGAGGGGATTTATAGAATTAAGCTCTCAGTGAAAATAAACAGGGGAGCTTCTCAGGCTCTATTGTTTCTCAATGAGAAGGTCCTTTCAATTGCAGGGCGGGCCTTTTTTGGCATGTGCATTCTGAGGGAGAGTAGGAAATAGACGCAAGCCTAAATGAGCAGCAGGATTAGACTACTTTCATTCCCGTTTCAATCTGTGTGTGATAGAATGTTATAAATATAGAAAAAATAGACCAAAGATATAAAAAGATATTAGGAAGAGCATGTAGTATGATGTTGGACGTTCTTCCTGATGAGCTTACCTTTTTTTCTTTTTATTGGAGTTCGCCTCATGTCTCTGTGGCATATCCTGTTGGAAAATAAAACCCTTTTGTGTTTAAAGGTCATTAAACAACTGTATTGTTACATTTTCAACTGATTTGTTCAATAAATAGTATTTTATAGACCTTAATCTCTAAGGTTTACTTTAAACATAGGAGGAATATTTGATTCATTTCTACATTGAGGAAGATCTGGCCTCAGAAGCAGCTGTCAGGTCGATGCTGCATCTTCATCATTTGATAATCAGCTGTTTTGATGCAGTTTTACATGTTGGGACTCCACAAAAGCCAGTAAGACATGGATTTGACCCACACTTTGTTCTCATCCTGCCCTGTTGTAGGTAGGTTGAAGTTTTCATGGATCCTTGCCCTGCTCACCATGGATATAGACCTTCCAGAGCCTCTCCACCTGGCGTTGTCATCCAGCAGGACGGCTGGACTGCCAGAGCGGCTGCAGGAGCGGCTGGACGAGCGACTGGGGATGGGCGCGGGCGGGCCATCGGCAGAGCTCTGCACCGCCTCATACAGGCTGTCCATAGAGCCCTCCTGATGACAGGTGGACACAAAAAAGAAATGATTGATTAATTTGGGTTTTTTAAGCTATGATCGATACAGTAAAGATTTTTTTTCATGTCGTATCGAAAAACTTATCAAACAGAGAACTGAGTCAAATTTATAAACAAACCGCCAAGGCTCTGGACTCTGTTACATTTCTGGATTTATTATTAAAAGATTGTAATGGATGTAGTGAATATAATTTCAATATAATATCTACAATACAAGCTAATAGAAATTATAAACCCTTTACTGTCCAGGGAAGAATGAAATGCAAACACTTTCCAGTGCAGGGTGGATAGTTCTTCAGGCACCTTCTTATCTCGTTTGTACCTGTTTTTTGCATCCTGTGTTCTCCCATCTCAGGGCATCTACCTTCTAAAAGATCCGACAGCTAGAAGAAACTACTGAGGGCTGTGTTTTGACTTTTTCCTTCCTCATGGTTGTGGAACAACCTCTCTCAAGATGTCAAGCAAATTTCAGAGTGATATCCATTCTGAGTCTAAAACATTATGTTTTACTCTACAACACTTGGCTCTTTTCATACCCTAAATGCTGAGTGTAGAAAAGAGAAATACACCAATGGCAGAACACACTCCTGATACAAACCCTCCAGCAGATTGAGTCCCTGTTTTGAATTGTTTTCCTCTCTTTCATTTATATTTCTCAGATGTTTAAATTATAGGAAGTTGAAGAAAACATTTTCTACTTATTCCTATCGTTTATTTTTTGTCCTAGTTGTAATATGTGTCATGATTCTGCACTTTTTTGTTCTGTTTAAGTTTTCTTTTTGAGTTACACTTTGATTCATGTCATTCTGTGTTTTCTAGCTAATTGGTTTCATTTCCATTTTACGTCATTCTAGTTGTTTTCTGGTTGTATTTGAGTTCTTATGTATTTCTTTTTTACTTTCTGTTGCCCCGTTGTGTCAGTCTGCATTCCCCTAGCTCCCTTCTAGATCCCTTTGCCCACACCTGCTCCCATTCAGTTAATTACCATAGTCTTTGTTTTGTTTGGCATTTATACTCCTCCTGCAGTTACTGTTGGCTAGATGCTCTTGATTCCCTCTTTAACCCATGTGTTCCCCTTTGTTCTGGTTCCTGTGTTCCTTAATCAGTTATTTTTGCATTTATGCTTCTATTGCCACTGCTCCTTATTAAATCTGCAAGTAACCACCTCTAAATCCTCCACACAACCTGACAGATGGATCCAGCCAAAAATGGACCCTGAAGACTCGGTCTAAAAAAAAATATTGTACTCTATAAGACTTGGTTCGTTTCATGTCCTAAACACTGAGTGTAGAAAAGAGAAATACATTGCCTATATCAGTTTTTATTATTATTATTATTTTTTTTTTTCTTAATAGACAGCATTGTTTGTCTTTATGGTTGAGTAAAAAAAATCATGATTAGAATTTGCTACCCTGTAATTTCCCTTTGAAGATTTAAACTGAAATTATCATTGAGATTTCTTTACCCTCAGTATTACTCTTCTATTGTTCTTCCTTTGGGATTATTAAATAATGCTGGATTAAACCTCTGAAATATGACTGAATCTAATTACTGTTTCAGCAGCGCAGTTTGCTATACTGTATAATATCCCTCTTTAATATTGGGTCAGTCTTATTTTTAGGCCTGTGTTTGATGTAATAGCTAAACAATTTTCAATACTTTATATCATCAATAATAGTAAAAACAGAAAGTATAAAACAAGAAATACATATTAATATATGTATATAATGATGCATAAGTATATGTAAGTAATACATATGCCCATGCTATCCATTGGTTTGTGTTGCCATTTATGGCAGATTACAAAGCCAGAGATCTAGATCTAGCATGACCACATTTAAATATTCATAAATATGGAACATGACACATTAACCTACCTTTCAGTTTGTTGCATTTAAATTGTTCTAGGGTTAGGGTTTTTCTGAGGATCTAACACATGTGAAACAGATTCAAATCCATTTTTAACTGTGCTTGTCAATAATAAATGTAGCAGAGGATTGAGTTTCATCTGAGCAGATTTTTAGATGGATTAAAATTGTTGGCCATGTTCTGATTCCTTCTAAGAACAAACATCCAACGTCCCTCCTCAGCTTTCCTGTCCATCCTGTGATTTTCCACTGTCGTGGTATAAACACTGACGGTTTTTAGAGAGGTTTCTTTTTAACTTAAATTGCACCTTAACATGCACTTGAGAAACAAAAAGGAAAAGATTATTCTGTACAAGTGTTTAACCAGTTGCACTATGACAGCTGGGACAAACTGAGGTCGTACTGTGTGATCAATCTTTGTGCCTTTACTTATCAAAGATTTCTTTGTTCGCTGCTTAAGCAACAGACCTCACCTAGATACACAATTGCAGGCTTGAATGTACGTGCAAACATATTATATTTCTTTGTGGAGAAGAATCAAGAGGCATTTTGGAAGAAAGCCAAAGAAAACAAATGAGCTTAAACTGGTATTTAAAACTTCTCCATCAGCTGAGCTGAGGACTTATTGGAAAGCGAAACTGACTTCAGACTTTTTTTAACTTAGAGAAATCACATGACTATCTAAACAGGGACAGTTTCATCCTTCTAGAGTCACTGTTAGATGATTTTGGATGTCTAGCTCTGGAGAAAAGTTCACGTCATTTGCAAATACCATGGGTTGCCTTCTAACAAAATTCAACTCCTTGCTCCTAACCTCCTTGCTTCAGCATAACATTTACATTTCTGAGCAGTTTGGTCATAAAGTAAGAAGAGTGTCTTACCAGTGAAAAGCAGAAAAGGTTCATTTTGGCTGCGATGTGCCCTGCACTGTTCGGGGAGTCGGATGGAGCAGAAACAGCCTGCTGACAGACAGAGGCTGAGAGACACAACAGCTCAGAGTGAGCCCAGCCCGGGTCGCCTGCTGTCTTCACAGATTAATACCACAGAGAAATCCCTGACCTAATCCAATAGATGGACCACCATTACGTTATCAGCTGTGGCAGAGCACACTCATGACAACAAACCCTCGCTGCTGCGGGGGCAACAGATTGCGTCGCTGTTTTGAATCATTTTCCTCTCTTTCATTTATATTTCTCAAAGTCTCATTTCCATTTTGTGTGATTCTAGTTGTTTTCTGGTTGTATTTGAGTTCTTATGTATTTCTTTTGAAAACTACAGATAGGAATCAGCATCCCTCACGACCCCAGCTTGGATAAAGGCAAACCGAAAATTGATGTCTTTCTTGTTTACTCTCTGTTGCATCCTTGTGTCAGTCACCTCCCCCTAGCTCCCTTCTAGATCCTTCTGTCCACACCTGCTCCCTATCAGTTGATCACTTCATTCTTTGTTCTGTTTGGCATATCTATTCTCCTTCTCTGCAGTTACTCAGTGCTGCATTCTCTTCATTTCTTCATTCCCTCCTTAACCCATGTGTTCCCATTTGTTCTGGTTCCTCTGTTCCTTGATCGTTTTTTTCTGAAATTATCCTTCTGTTGCCATTGCTCCTTAATAAATCTGAAAGTAACCACCTCAGCTTCCGTCTCTGCATTTGGGTCCTCTAAAAATCTCCACATAACCTAACAACATGCCTGTACAGTTAACTTATGTAGAACCCAATGTAGCTTTAATAAGTAGAATTGACCTTTTATCATTAGTAAAGTTTGCTGTTAGAGATAAATTGTTCAAAAACTTGAAGTTCAACATGTCAAAGATTTTATAATGGACAGTTTATAATCCACAAAAAGGTTCTGTTGTTTTGAAGTCCAGTTAAGGAATAATGGGAGAATTTGCTGTTGTGATGTGAATGTTTTAATGACTGTACACTTGAGAAACACAACATCTTTAATATTTACCATCTGTTGCTGTGCACTGCTGGTCAGTTGGCTGAATACATAGGAAGCTAAAGGAGAGCCACTAATCACCCTTGTTTGGGTAAACAGCTAATATCAGACTACATTCTGGCTGTACTTCATGAAAAAATATAAGAATTAAAAAAAGAAAGAATAATATTCTGCACGCGTGCATTGGCTGTTAATTTTTTAAACATTCGCTTAGTTTATTTTTTCCTAAATCAAAATAGATACAAAACGAAACACAAAAACAATAACTTTATTAGAATTGTAATTATCAAAAAGATAATACATTCAATGCAATAGAAACTACATTTATAATGCTATCTCTTGTTGACCCTTGTTATTTTATTCTTTATGTATAAACAAAGAAACTGTCATATTCTTTGTCTATAGCTGCTTACCCACTGAAAACCCGGGTTTTTCAAAACTGGGTTAACCCGCTAACAATCAGCTTTTGGCTCTTTTCCCATTTGACCAAAAAGTAGAGTCTGACTTCCTGCTGAAAAGCTGCGTGGCCTCTGTCCCCACTGACCCCTCACTGCCTGTCTGATGGCGGCATCACCGTGGGGAAGCATTAATGATGATGTCAGTGCGATGGAAATCAGGGAATTAAACAATGGAGAGCAGCATGGATGGAAGCCAGAGTGTGCTCAGTATTCTTTATTGTTTTGCCCTTTTGTCCGTCCGAATCCCTCCCACAAGCCCTGCGCCATGTTCATCGAATATAAACAGAGTTGCATCGGCTTGTTGGAGCAGACGCGACTGGCGAGGTGTGTTGGGTGGCGACGTTTGTGCCTTGCGTTGATTGGTGTCACGTAATTTAACTGGTTAACCCGGGTCTGGTGTTCTCACCGCTGATCTCTATTTATTCATGTGATCAGAGCCGGGGCGATTTTAACGCTGGTCACTGGCCGAGTCATTTGACCTGGGTACACACTGCCACTAAAAACAGAATGTACCCCGGTTTAAACTTGTGTTCCGGCCAGTGTGAAATGGGTATTAGTCGAAATACTATGAGAACCTCCTTCTGGGCCACAAATATTACCAATAGTAAGAATGAAAGGTGTCATATGATTATTTGGTGATGACCAAAGCCTTTGAATTAACACCAAAGCTTCGTCAAACTTTTTTGGTCAATTTTTTTTACATCAATGTGGGGGAAAATGGAACATGAAATAATCACAACATATATAATACCTGGAGATTTCTCAGTGGTCACTATTCATCAGCACAATGACATGTTTATAATGAAGTGTGACTAATTATAAAACAACCTATATAGTAAAACTTGTTTAGTTTGCAGCTCAATGTTCCACATTTAACAGAACATTTCAAGACCTCCTTTCTATTTCATATTATCTTCAAAACAGATTTGCTGTGCATGTCTCAAAGGTGCAACACATAACCTTGGCTACTGTTGGGGTCATCTGCATGATTTGCCATCTTGTCAGAAGTTGAAAGTGGTAAGATATAAACAGGTGTAGAGCTACCTTGGCAGAGTTTGAGGCTGTGACCTCAAACTCTACAAGTAGCAGGTGAAAACAGAAGTTAGTGGGTAACACCTAACTCAAGATATAAATAACATCCACTGAAGTTTAAATCCTGAAAGTCTCCCACGGTTACCTAAGAAAGATTCAGTTCAGAAAATAACTTTTCTTGAAGCAATTTAAAAAGCAAAAGAAAAAAAAACAAAGGCCGCCTTCATTCTTCATTTTGAGTCATCAAAATAATGAGTGAAATGTTTAATCACTGCATTCAGCCCAGATTATTAGGAGGGTATTACATAAACAAAACAGTGTTACGCAATCAAGGCTCTTACGTGCATATTAAATTACCAAAATTAAATTTCCAAATCCCTTCCTGTGAGCTCACTGCACTCTGCAGCTTTTCTGTTTCATTACTAAAAACCAGAACCATTGTATTAAGTGTGAAGGTATAATTTACTTTATTTCCCTTAACTAACACCTGCATTTCCCTAAACTTAACACTTAAATTATTCGACAAAAGAGAGTGTTGTTCTGTTATTGCAGAACTAAATTAGTTGAAAAACACTCGCAATAATAAGGGAAAATTGCAACCAAAAGAGCAGTCAATGAGTTAGGGGAAGTCTGTGTAGAAGTGCATTAAGATTTAATGGTACTGTAGGTTTTCTGAAGCACCCTTCAACTAATGAAACAGTAAATGCTAGTCCAAATGAGTCAAAGATGTCTCTAAAGACATGATTTGGCCTCACGCAGCCAAAAAATGTTCTTGAATTCTAATTATTTTAATGACAAACCTTTACCATAAGATTTATTGAGCCCCTGTAAAAAAATATGGAACATTCCATTAATTTTTATGGATGCTTCAAATTGAATACTTTTATCCTGTTTATATTTACTTTGTTCATGTTTTTGTTTGTTTTCTGTGCCTAGGAATTCTAAATGACTAATCTTCATTTTTATTTGGGATTTAATTTCACTTTGAACAGAGGCTAATCCTTCAGCCACTGAGAGACGAATGAGGAAAGGTGCAACACCTTTGGATCCCACAACCACAGGACGAATTATTTGTTTATGGCTATTGCTACATGGACTTAAACTGGGACTATGTTCTCGGTTCAGAAGAGAAAGTATACATTTCTCTGCAAATTCAGTTAGGTTTGGCATGAAAATAACACATTTATTTTGAAAATTCCACCATGCCTCCTGATAAGTATAGTGGAGGATTATTGATACTGTGGGCCTGTTTGTCCGAGGCAAGAATCACAGTAGAGTAGGTTGCAGTTTGAACCCTGCTAATGCTAATAGGTTGTACTTTTTTTTTAGAACTTAATTGCATTAGAAGTGAAGGTTCAACATTATATTCTTTGAAAAGCTTTAATGCTGTAGATGTTTATGCTCTGTAGATGAACTTTACAAAACCTTTCAGTTAATATATATTCAATATTTGTTGCTGTCAGATAAAGGAGGAGGCTTTTAACCCATGATAAAAGGAAAACGTAAACAAAGAAAAAAAGCTCTTGAGATGCTGGGTAAATATACCTGCATATCCTGTCAGCCAAGTGGAGAGAAGAAAAAAAAATGCAAACTAATAATAAAAGAATGTGCTTACAAGAAAGCAATTCACCTACAGCAACCATGCGCTTATCTATATATCATATGTCACGATCTTGAAGAAAAACAAACACACAGAGCACAGAGCACATTCGTTTGCACCACAGCTCTTTCCTGTGTGGGCAGCCCATGTGGGTTATACTTTTTCCCCGACTTAAAACTGTGGCTCAGCTTACTCTGAAAAACACAATAATTTTCCAACACAATGGAAAGAACTGCATAGATTTGAATTACAGCTCACTAGTGCACAGACATAGTTTCAGGTACAGTCATTGGATCTGCTTGAGTGGTTTTCCTTTTTTTTTTTTTTAGCAGAAAGCTGTAGTTAGTGGTATTTAGGTGATGCCGCATACAGTGTGAAGGTTCTCCCTTAATACACCCCCTCTGGATAAATCAGGCTGAAAATTACCTGGAGTTTCACAGAGGTGGCATATGACTTTTGCCTCTTTGATCATGTAGCTAATTTAGTTCAGTTGCTATATTCAGCTTCGTAAGTGTACCTTTGTATGATTATGCATTTAAAAGTGATGAGCTTCCAGAAAAAGATTTAAAAATAATTTTATTAATCTTTTAATGTCAATAAGGCCAACTCTAGACATTCACTCTGATAGTTCAGATTCACACTGTTCTTTTCCTCATGCTTCACCTGAGTGAAACTCTGCTCTTTAGTTTTGGTTTACAGGAAACCAATCTGCAGAGAACAGGGTGTGAAAGCATTTAAAAACAAAGAACAATGTGGGAATACTGCCAGGTAACAGCCCAGCAGCTCTAGGTGATGGTTTCTGGGAAGTTTTGTCTACATAGGGTCAAAATTAAACTGGAAATATTTATTTACCCATGAGAGTGACCAACACCTTGAGGCCATTTGTCAAACTACTGCACACCAACAGTACTTCTCATGTAAGAGTCCTAAACAACGTTTGACTTTTCATCATTGAAAAAAGTCAATTCAACTGCTTTAAGGTTTACACTGAGTTCAGATTAGAGACGGACAGTGACCCATATAGCTGCAACCTGTTCCAGTTAAGCATTATGTGACATCATGACAGATTTAAGAGGCTGTGAAAAAGTGAGTGGCCTGCTTTTTAACACCCACTGCATTGCTCAGTTTAAGAAGGCTGCTGAAGCATAAATGAAGCTAAACAGCTCTTGGTCATCATTAGTGATCTTTTATTTAAGAGTAGAAACAAGTACAGGATTAATCACAGGATTCTGAAACGTAAACAAATCATCTTGTACTTTAGTAGCTTTTATCTCATTTCTTTCATTATTAGGTTTTGTAGACATAAGGGAGTAAGACATTTTTAAGCCATGCTTCAGCTTTAGCAGAGGTCCTCTTGGCAGCAGACTGTGAAGAAATCCTCCGCACAGAACTCCTCACAGCTTCGGGAAAGTTTGTCACCTGAAAAGAAACATAAATAAAACTTCCATCACTAAAACTGTTCCTCTACCTTGGCACAGCTATTCTCACAATAGACTAAATGATTGAAGCAACAGTAAAAATTCGACAAACCTTTTTGGTAGGTCTTGCAGTACCCGTTTGAGCTGTGGCACTCTGACACCGTCTTACAGACAGTGTCGTTCTCATCCTGGCATGTGTAGCATTTTAGTGAGAGCACTATAGAAAAAAAAGAGATAACATGTAAAAAGGAATTAAACACAACCCTCCTATATGAATGAGACATATTTGGACATTTATCAATACTGTAAAGAAGGCAGCAGAGGTAGCCTCTCCTTACCTTGTGTGCTACACAGCAGCAGGATCACCATGGAGAGCAGCAGGACCTTCATGTTGTCGGATGGTATGTGGATAAACTGAGCAGCTCTTTTATACCTCCTCCTCTACCTCCTCCCAAAGCAGAGCCGAGGTATGCACTTCCTCCTAGAAAATATTCCAGTAAATAACCTGTCTTTCATTCCACGTCAACAGGTGAATTCAGCTGTACTGTATTCAACATTATCGTGCTAAAAATGGATGATGTTTATTAAATTTTAGTTTTCTATTGACATCTCGGATTAACTACCAAATAATCTCCTAATACAACTCAATGTGTTTATGGAATTTAACTTAGTAAATCTTTCAGACTTTAGTCCGAAAGTTTGTGTTTTCTATTCTTAAAGCTTGGGTCTGTGCCAGAACTGCACCTGCAGCTCTGAGTGACTCAACAAAAAAACAAACACCAGATTTACTGTGCTTAATTTCTGGTATTCATAGCTCTTTCTTAAGGCTTTCAAACTATAACAGTGTAATGTATAACATCAAAGTTATTTTAAATAGGTTATCTCCCGCTTTAATGCTTTCACATGTGGCCAGATTAACAGTTCTGTGAATTTCTGCATCTCCTGCAGAAATAGATGATTTAGAAAATGAACATCAGCATGTAAAGCTGTTGTTTGAGTTCTGTGAAATCATAACAAAGTCTGACTGGATTTATTTCTATCTGACGTGGGAACGCGATGCAGAGTACATTTAATACTTTCACTTTTATTTCTATCACTGATGGTCATATCTTAAATGGAGAGAGACAGCTGCCATTTTTAAGCAGGTTCTGTTTATTTTTGCTTGTCCATATTTGTCTTATTTCTCTTTCAATTTTTTAACCTGGGATTAAAATGCTGGTATTAACCTTTTCATGAACAATGTGAACTAAAGTGAGAAAGTTGAAGAACCACAAAACAGGCTTATAGGGGCAACTAAATAATCCTATAATGTGGTTGCTGTGACCCAGATGACTGAGAATTTGCAAAGGCAATGATGAAGAAGTAAAGTTTGGTTGGTGGTTGAGCCATTAAGGTGGGTACAGATCCGTCCTCAAGGCTAACATGTTTTTGTTTTTTTGTTCTTTTTGACCAAATGTGCAGTAGCAGCCATTCAAAATGTCCCTTTCCAGTCAAAAACCAGCTGAATGGCAGCAAAATCCCCTCCAACTTACAGCCACTGGCCTTCTCATGGGCATGCATATTTTTTTCTTTAGAACTTAATTTCCACAAATCATGACATAAAGCCTATGTTTAAGAAGGAATTGTAGGTTATTAGCCAAGGACCAATGACTAATAACGGCTACTACTAATGGCTACTACAGTAGGAGAGAAAAAAGAAATTTCAGAAAATCATTCCGGTTCTTTCACAGGTTTCTTCAATGGAAAAAAAAAAAAAAAAACACCAACACCAGACTGGTGTGCTTTTGGTTTTCAGTGATTTCATAACATGGTCTCCCACTCCAACAGAACCCTCTTATTCAACGTATTTAATGCATTTTATTCATAAGGCGTCATTAATAAAAAATTTTACCCTATAACACAGTCAAGTTCAGAGTCAGTAACATATATTCCAAGTTGATCCTAATTATCCAATGAGATATGTCAGCTTATTTTTTTGTTACACTGTTTTGTACCAACTGTTTACTTACTTATATCACTTTCTGTTCTCTTCCCATGTGCTATTTTAGGATTACTATTAAAAAGGGAATAAATTGAATTTATTATCTTTTGTGTCATGATTCATGTTCTGGGCTGTTTGTTTGTATTACTTCCTTTTATGAATGCATAAATATCTCCATCTGTGCTTATACGATTATGTACAGATCCTTGCAGACGACTTCCAATCAAGTCGCAGAAATCTTCACCCTGTTTTCTTTCTTTTTAACCCTTTTTCTTTTTCTGCCCCAGCCTAGTTACACCTGCAGTGGCTAATTCAATAGTTTTGACCATCTCATTATGCTTCAGCTCTCCACAGGGTCATTCTGTCATAAAGCACTAGATTTGTGGTTTAAAATAAAGATGGTTCACCATCTCTTTTTTAGGTTTTCCTGGATATTTTAGGTTTAAATAAAATGAAACTCTTGCCAAATGAACCATAAATGTATTTCACTTAATATCTTTCTATGTTTTCATAAGATAAAACTTACTTTTGAATTGTTTCAACAGTTCTATTTCATATATTTTTTTCTTTTTTTTTTTACCAACAAAGCGATTAACCTCCACAGAGATGGATTTTCTCAGCATTTCTCCCTTACGAATAAATTGCCAGCCTTTACATTAGATTAATGAGATTTTTTTCATTTTCTATAAGAGCCACTAAGTAGAGTGTAGGTTTAAAGTCTTAGTTCAAAATAACCACCAGCTTATAGAAATGTAAAAATAGGACAATGTAAGGTGAACTGAACAATATATAGATATTAGATATTTTGTAAACAATAGTTTCATGTTCAGAACTTTTCGCAAATAAAATTTATAATTCAGACACATTAGAAGGCAGCTAAATATAAATAAACTGGTTTATGAAAAAACAACAATAACTTAACAAGAAACAATAGAGAGTGAAACACAGAGAGTCCATATGTGAAGAGGGAGTGACATTTAGCAAATAGAAAAACAGCTATGATGGGAAGAGAAGAGAAACAAGAAACAAGTAACTCATTTCCACAGGAATGGAGATCAGGACAAATAAATAAGTTGCCGAACATAATCATACAATCCGGAAATTTATAAAGAGAACAAAAAAACACAAGTTGGCTAAACTAAAAGTATCACAAACTCTAAGGACCACATCATCACTTACAAACCAGTTCTGCCACTTTGAAAACAAAAGCTGTTCAACAAGCTGTCAAAGAAAAATGTATACATGAAAGCTGAACCTGTTTTATGTTGCCTTTTTTAGCCTTTTGTCAGGACCAAGGAGTGGTTTCAGGAAGGTGAACAGGTTAGAGACTCTTAACAGAGCCCTTTTTGTAAGAATGTTTAAAGATCTAAAACATCCATCCATCCATTTTCTGCCAAGCTTATTTATCACGTGGGGTGTTGGTGAAAATACAGAGGTTTACAAACAAAATCCATTATTTTAGTGAAGTAAAATAATTTATTTTAATGAAGTAATTTAGATTTATAAAAGAAGACTTTATATTTGCAATTTTGAATCTGAATTCTTATAAATAAATAATTTAAGACACCAAGGCTAAACTTTTGCAACATATTTTTGTAGATCATTTATGAAACTTTTGCCTTATTTTTGTCCTGGTGCAACTTTTTTGATGTATACTGACAATATATTATTTTATTACTGATAGAGACTTTAGCTATTGATATTTGAAGTCCAATGTATTAATTCAATTCAATTCAATTCAGTTTATTTATATAGCGCCAAATTCACAACACATGTCATCTCAAGGCACTTTACAGTTCAACCAGATCAAATTGATACAAAGTTTTCTATCTAAGGAAAACCAGTTGATTGCATTGACTCATTGACTCAAATACAATCCCCCACACTAAGCATGCTTGTAGCGACAGTGGAGAGGAAAAACTCCCTTTTAACAGGAAGAAACCTCCAGCAGAACCAGGCTCAGTGTGAGCGGCCATCTGCCGAGGCCGACTGGGGTTCAAGGAGACAGAAGCAGAGATACAAAAAGCAGCTGTAAAAGGCGGCCCCGTCCAGGAAACACACAGCCAGGCAGACGAGCTCCAAGGCAGCTCCCATGCCAGAGGACGAAGAAAGCACATCCACTCAGTCACGGTCAGAGAAACAGGACCACACTGGAAAACAGGCCGATCTCCAACATCTATAAACAAGGGTGTTGATAGAAGCAGCACAGCTGATGTTTCTTTCCAGGATGACGTCACAGCCAAACAGGAACAGACGAGGCAAAGCTACTCTGAGGAAAAGCAGAGAGAGCAGAAGGTTAGAGATTGAACTAACAGATTCTGCAGAATAGGAGAACAGAGAGAGAATGAAGCAGAATGATGAAATGGGGGTCCCTATGTCCTCCAAAAGTCTAAGCCTATAGCAGCATAACTATAGAGATAGCTCAGGATAACCTGAGCCACTCTAACTATAAGCTTTATCAAAAAGGAAAGTTTTAAGCCTAGCCTTAAAAGTAGACAGGGTGTCTGCCTCACGGACTAAAACTGGTAGTTGGTTCCACAGGAGAGGAGCCTGATAACTAAAAGATCTGCCTCCCATTCTACTTTTAGAAATTCTAGGAACCACTAGTAAACCTGCAGATTGAGAGCGAAGTGCTCTGTTAGGAACATAAGGAACAATCAGATCTCTGATATAAGATGGAGCTTGGCCATTTAAGGCTTTATATGTGAGAAGGAGGATTTTAAATTCTATTCTTGATTTAACAGGAAGCCAATGAAGAGAAGCCAGGATAGGCGAGATATGATCTCTCTTTTTAATTTTCATTAGAACTCTGGCTGCAGCATTTTGGATCAGCTGAAGGCTTTTAACTACAGTTTGTGGACTTCCTGATAGTAAAGAATTACAATAGTCCAGCCTTGAAGTAACAAATGCATGGACTAGTTTCTCAGCATCACCCCTGGACAGGATATTTCTAATTTTTGCAATGTTCCTCAGATGAAAGAAGGAAATTCTAGAAACCTCCTTGATATGGGACCTAAATGACAGGTCCTGATCAAAAACAACACCAAGATTTTTTACTTTATTATCTGAAATCAGTTTAATCCCATCCAAATGAAGTGACTGGCTAATCAGTTTCTTTTTCAGAGACTCTGGTCCAAAGACTATAACTTCTGTTTTGTCTGCATTCAGAAGCAGAAAGTTAAGAGTCATCCAGGTTTTTATGTCTTCAAGACATGCCTGTAATCTATGTAATGGGTTAGCTTCATCTGGATTTATAGACAGATATAGCTGGGTATCATCAGCATAACAGTGGAAATTAATCCCATGCTGTCTAATAATTCTACCAATTGGGAGCATGTATAAAGTAAAGAGAATTGGTCCTAGCACTGATCCCTATGGTACTCCACAGGTAACCTTTGAGCGTGTTGAAGATCTATCATTAACATGAACAAACTGAATTCGATCAGATAGATAAGATTTAAACCAGTCTAGTGCTGTTCCTTTAATTCCAACAAAATATTCAAGTCTTTCTAAA